CCCCCCCCCCCCCCCCCTTCACTCCCTTTAATACAGCGCCACTATCTACTGTATATATAATAACTGCCAACATGTTTACAGTAATTCATCTTCAGGAATGCTGCAGCTGACCAGAGGTCATTGGGTAGAGCTGGGGTCAGAGGGTCAAACAACCATTCACACTCACATTCACACCTAGGATCAATACAGATCATCCAACTGACCTAATCCTGTCATGTGGTTGAACTATGGGAGGAAAGTGAAAAGGGAAATTATCTTTCTGCTGTAAGGCAAGAGCCGTAGCCACTCCTCCACAGCGAGGCCTACAATGATGATTAACCCGATCTTAATGTCACAGCAACATTTCAGCTCAGTCTTGTGTCGGTGATGCGTGTGTGTGTGTGTGTGTGTGTACATGAACTCATTAGAAGTGCTTACCCACCCATGCAAAGGGACAACACGTCCCTTATATAACCTCCAGTTGACAATGGAGAAGACATGAATCCAAACAAAATTGATAAATCGTCTATTTTTCCGCCCCAGAGGTTGAGGTCAGGGTGGAGGTTAGGAGACAGTACAGAGGTCGTGGTGAGGGTTAGGGGACCAGGCACTGAGAGTGGGTTGCAGAACGAGTGGATGATGTGCATAATGGATTTTCCGTGGTTTGTATGTACGCAGGGTTAATACACGGGGTTAGTTAGGTTTTGATTTAGTGTTCATTAATGTGTGTCTTAATCATTTAAAGGCATGTGTGTGACCCTACTGTGACAGTGCAGTGAATAATGGTGATGTACTGTTGTTCATATCCTTGGTTACAGGAGTTAGAGGACTAAATTAGAAGGTTATAGAACTGGATAATTCAAACAAGCCATTAATGTAAAAAAACAATTCAACACAGCAATTGTTTTTAAGATGGATTCATTTGTTATAAAGTGTCATTATCACACGTCTACCTCAAATATTCTAATTTCAAAATACAGCGAGGTAAATAACAACCAGGACACAGTGAAAAATGTTTTTTCCAGATAGTGCTATTCATAGTGTTGTATTCCTAGTTGGACAAAGCTACGGCTCGCTGCCACAAAAATGTGTTAGTGTGTAAGAGGTAAAGACAGAGGGGAGCAGACCTGACTTCAGCAGCAGCCAGGGCAGTTGGTAACTGTGTGGTGTGCAGTCCTTCCACAGTCGTACAAAACCTCACTTGACTCTTGCTGTTAATTCAATACTGTAGTAGTAACTTACACACCATAACCATGCCTTAAGTTTTAAAGCTGTGATTACTTGCATTTATTTGCACAACCACATCATCTTCCTGTGCAAGCATGATGTAAAAATACTTAAGCCATATTTGGCCTGCGGGCCAACTGTTGAATACCTTTGCCTTGGAGAAAGTTGAACTCATTCACACAGGCAGATGATACGGCACAAACCAGAGAGAGAGTCTGACTGTGGAAAAGCAGCGTTCACTTTCAAGTTAGTGGTAAAATATAACTGTTCATTTGTAAAAATGGACCCAAAACTGTAATAACTTAAAAACAAAATCTTCAAATAATAATGATGTGATATATCAGGATGGCTGTGTATATTTACTTTGACGTCACCATGTTAAAAACATGGTGACGAACATTAGCTGAGAGTAATTCTGTTTTGTTCTTTATCAAACTGGGTCAGCAGTGAAGAGTCCCAAGGCTTGATCAGCTAAGAACCACTGCTCTAAATAAACAAACTTATTCCAAGGTTAATTCTAAAGCCCATGCGGTAATGTTCAGCTTTTATGAGTTGCTGTATATCAGTGCAGTAAGTAGGCCAAACCAATAAGATAATGACTGTATCATCTCTTCATCCTAATGCTCCATCACTGCTGGTACAGTTTACATTACCATTTATATGATCATTCCAACATACAGAGTAGCCTACAGTACTTCTAGTATTTTTCCAGCAGCTTAAAGGATGACCACACGTTGTCTAAATAATGTCACAGATGGAGGCTGTACTGTATTTGTTAGTTAACAGTCAACAACTGTGGTCCTGAGGTTTGTTCTAATTTGGCCAGCAGAGGGCACATCGCCTCAGGCAGGTGTATTTAGCAGCAGTAGAAGAAGTTTTTTTTATATGATTCCCAAATGTTACAGAGTTGCTGCTGGTACAAAATAATGTGTAAAAAATGATTTTAAAAAGTGTTTATTCTAATATTTTGAATTCATAATGGTGAGAGGGCTGATCCTGACCCTTCTTCAACCTCTTGTTTGAGTTACATGATTTCTACCTACTGGGTTTATTCTCTGCAGTAATGGAACACTGGATGGTAAAAACAAGATCCTTTCAGAGGTACTGCAGATAAACAAACAATTATACAATTATAATTTTTTTATGTTTTTGCCCGAAAACCTCTAGTGTAAAAGCTGTTTTCAGCTGTTTTCAGTTTAGACTGTTTTGAAACAAAAACAAAAAAACAAACAACTCACTCTAGAAAAGTTTTGTTTGTCCTAATATTTGCTTAACTTGGATTCTATGTCCTCAGTCTTAAAGATGGGGGGGACAGCGTCCCATATCTGTCTCTTATTTTCTAAGTCTTTAAATGTGTGACTGTGCGTGTGACATGCAGCCGTGGGCTGTGTCAGATCTCACACTGTGTGCTGCCGGAGACGCGGGGCCCCGGTGAGGGGCCAAAGTCATTCATCACATGGATTGAAACCGCAACGTTAAATCAATGGCGGCCCCCGGGAGTGATGACAGCTGAGCGAGAAGCAGCCATAGTAAAAGGCTGCGGTCTCTTGGTCATCCATCAACAAGTCGACGCCGTGTACAGAGTCCGCCAAAGCCCCTGCACCGGGGCCCACGACAGAGCATAAACACACAGCAGCGGCATGAACCCCAGCAGGTGGAAGAATGAGACGGTGCTGTGGACCATAATAACCAACACCTGTAACTGCTGAGGGAAGAGCATGTGGACTAAGATGCTGCATGAGTGAAGTTGAGGAGTACAGAGACTACAGTACATAGACACATGGAGTGGGATCTCAGGACAACTGGTTGAATCAGAGCACATGCAGAAACACGGAGGCAGCAGCCAGACAGTATCACATTAGGAAGATGACAGTCATGGTCCTGATGATGATGATAATAATGAGGAGGAGGAGGAAGATGATGATGATGGAGAAGGTGACACTCACCCCCAGAGACTGACATCTGGAGACAGCATCACATCTGGCCTGACACTTTGACGAGTCTCCCACACCCACGCGTCACCCCACCTCCCAAAACCACACACACGCGACTCCCCACACCCACCTCCACCACCGCCGCCTTGTCTCCTCTGCATGTGATGGAGCCAGTCCGTAAAGTGTGCAGCAGCTGTTTCCACTCACCCACTGTTGTTGCCGTCACTGTCGCCACGGTCTCTGCGGTCCCCACGTCCACTCCCGTGTCCCTCCGTGTGATCTAACGGCGCAGAGGGGACAAGCCTTGCACGCGTTCAGCCTCCGCCACCAGCAGCAGCGCCATCCAGCGCTCTGGTCGCGAGACGCGGCTCTCGCGATACCGCCATTCCACCTTCCGGCTCTGGCTGTGTGTGCGTGCGTGTGCGTATGAAAGAGAGACGTAGCACTTTTATCAGACAGCTTTGTTCAGCCCGATGCCGCCGCCTCCCGGGCACAAGGCGTAAGGAAATGAGCAATGACGTCATGGCCCTTACCTGATAACAACACAATACTCATATACATGCATGGATAAAACTATTAACCTCCCAAAAAGAAAGTTTTCCAGGTCTGGTGACGCGCTTCTGAAGATATTATCTTTTTTTATGCATCCACAAAATTATGAATAAGGACTTTTGTAGTAAATCATATTAAACACTAATTAAAACAAAAGCAGTGGTTGGCGTCTGACGCAGGAGATCATCGCAAAGAAGATTTATTAAACAAATTGTACAGGGCTAGAAAATAAAAGATTACCAAAAGGAGAAACGGTGGTGCCACAGAACGGAGACCAAACCAAACTAACATCAGATAAATATCCATTAAAAGCTGTTTTAAATCAATTAAATGAATCAGCTACACCATGTTATTATAATTATCTGAAAATAATAATCATGTCCTGTTTACATGCTGTGGACCACAACATGCACCAGACATCTGCCTAATTGGTGTCACTGGAGACCTGCCAGTTTCCGCGGCGGCCTGGCCATGATGACTATTCATAGTACAAGGGAGAGGTGATGAGATCGCTCCAGTTTGTCAGTGGAGACAAGACAAGACTGAACAATTCAAAGCTTAGAACCATGTGAAGACATTTGTATTTTAACACAGTCATCTTAAGCTGATTAAGATCATTTCCAAGCTGCATTAAGACTTAGAGTTTTCTAATTTAACTCCTGATTAAGAATCGTTACCATAGCTTTATAAGTCAGGAAGCTTTATAGAAGTAGTTACTAATTTGATTCCTTTTCTAGTTGCACCTGTGTTACTGCTGCCATGGCAACATAGAAATGAAAAATAAGGAATGGTTTCTAATGTGTCTGCCATGCAGCTACATTCAGCTAAGTTGGTTATGGATGTCAGATTTTAAGGTAATATTACAACTGAATATTGTAGTGTGTGTAAACTACAAAAAACTCATTTTACATTTTCATCTTCAGTGCATGGGGTTTGTGTTGTGTCCACAGGGCTTTGGTGTCATCATGTGACCAGAGTGTAAAACTCACAGGAATGTGACAACAGGTGCAAATGGAGAGGATACTGTATTACAACCCCTGTCTCTCAAGTAGTGGTATTTGTCGACTGTGCAAACGCTGGTCGTTAAAAATGAAGGCTGCACGAAGTACAAAGTGGATTATTTTAAACTTGGGCACAAGGTTCCAAACCTCTTTAAAAGTTGGAAGTTCTTTTAAAAAGCATTCATACAGAGCAAGACACTGTCAATGCAGTAATGATGAACAAAGTTATTGTCAGCTGATAAATAGCAATAGCTAATACATTTTTAAAAAGAGAAAGAATTGAATGTGTATTTTTAAAAACCATTAATAAAGGAGAAACAGTGGGACATTCTGTAAAGAAGAACTTTATTGAATAAATACATTGTGTCTAAGAGTGCAGCGTGCTTGTCTATTTCCATACACACAAGTCTCACAAGCTCACAGTGTGCAAGATCATATGACATCATATGACATGAAACGCACCCATGAGAGCAGGGGAAATCATTTTGTTCCTTTCCATCCAGTCATTTTTATTTGTCTTTCCCTTATTTTTTCATTTTCCATGCAGTTAAAGTACATTTAGGCCTGAGCCCACGGGAGCCAAAGCAGTTCTGTAAGGCCTTGAGTCATCATTTCACAGTATGTGCTGTACTTTATTATCTCTCTGATACTCTCATATACTGTATGTACATGCCTGCTACAGTTTGTCCTGAAGTAATTGTGCTTAAGTTGTTTTTGCGTGTACTTTGCGGTGCGGATCACAACATGTTGTTTTCATGTCTCTGTCTGCGTGCTGCACGTGTTCACAGGTCATCTGTCTCTCCATCAAAGGCGACGTTGTCCGGGTCCATGTGGATGTGTGAGTTTTCCTCGCTGCACACCCAGCCGATGGGCGTGCGATTGAACGACGGACGTGAGCGGATGTCGGCCTGCAGGCTGGGCAGCGGCTCCGGCTCCTCAGGGGCAACGTTGATCTCCGGGATCTCGAAGGTCAGCATCTTGGACGCTTTGTCATAGCCACCATATGGCAGCGCTGTCCTGGGGGAAGAACAGAGGAACAATGTAAACAGGAAGCTGAGACACAAAAGGTACTGTCACGATGAGCATCCCTGCTGCTGGGCAGAGGAGAACAACTTTTAGCTCTCATACAATATTATATTAATGTTTTTAAGGCATACGTCAACATGCTGCAAGTAACATGATTTTTTTAAATTATTTTAATATTTAAAAAGGTGTAAAATGTCACTGTTTGCTGTAGTTTATTAACCAAAATTTACTCATTCTAATATTTATGTGTTAGTGGTTATAAAAAAAAGACCTGTGAGTGAAGGATAATCCAAAAAGTAAAAGACACATAAAACAAAAGAGACACAAAGAAGGTAAAATAAAAAATAACTACAGACGTACATGAAGGGATGAAAAATAATACAAACTGTAGCCAACAACCTGAAGGAGACACAGAGTGATCAGCAATAGGTGCAGCATGATCTCAGCGACACCACACAGTAGTTAGTACAACAGCTCATGTGACTATAATGACATAAAATATACACAAAGAGATAGGAAATGACCACCAAGAGACACAAAAACAGCACATAGAGACGGACAACTATCACAAAGACACATTAAATATAGTAAAAAGATACCACATGATCACAAGGGACATGAAACAGCTGTTGAGAGACACAGATCTCCTGTATCTGGGTCTGTTCTGTGTCTGTGTGAGTGTGTGCAGCCCTGTGTCTTTTACAATTCGCTCTGTGCAGTGATTGGAGGCCTTTTACATATCCGTGCCCGGGGACCTGTTTCCTCATAATCCGTCCCTGTTGCTGCTTGTTTATTGCTTTTTCACAGCAGTTATTAATTACAAAAGGTAGACCTATGCTTCAGCTGCTCCACAGCAGTAATCAACAGCATTAAAGCAGACGCAGGATTAAAAGGACTACATCTGGAATCAAATTAGTCCATTTATGAACGTGACTGATGTATTATGGGACGTCTGCTCTGCGGCAGTGCAGGGTAAAGCCATAGAAACAGTGGGGAGGAAGTGGCTTTTTACTGCTGATGAAACGGCAAACCACTGTTGTTATAGAGACGTGGTCTCTGGGAGATCTGCATTTATAGCTCTATACATAGACACCAGCCGCTGTTGTTGCCCGAACATGGCTGTATTATCAAGTTTGTATTGTTTTCTCCTCTGGATTTGGTTACTTTTCCACAAACGGAATGTTCTGCAGTATGTAGTCCCCAATGGTTTCAGCATGTGTACATACTGTAGTTATTACTTCATATTATTTATTCATGGGTAAATTAGGCAGAGAGAGGGGGCATTGCCCCTTATTGTCTCCTCTAAGGCCAGGGTTGGTTTTAATGCAGGATAATAGCAATTTTTGAATGATTTTTTTTTTTTGCGGGGGACCTAAAAATTGGAGGTCAGAGGTGGTATTAAACCCTAAACAATATTATATCTTTTAGAAACGACTGATGCTAATAAAAGAGTTGTGGGCCTGTCGTCTTGTACCATATACATACATATATACATATATTAAGGACATAGAGCATAAAAGCTCTCACTGTTGCACCTGGCTGGTTGCTGTATGTCATAAGGACCGTTGGAGTGTCAGACTCAGAATGTCACAGAAGACAGTGTTTCTTTAAGACTGTTGTGGACGTCATCCAGAAAGGTGTGATGAATTCACATCCTCCCTCTGCTGCTTCCTTATCAGCCATAATTTACTTTTACAGCTCCCCACAAAACTGACTCCATTCATTAACACTGCTCAGCATCTCCGTGTGTGAGTGTGGGTGTGTGGGTGTGTGTATACTTGTTGAAGCTCTTGTACTGAGGCAGATCAGGCTGGATCTGGATGGGTCCTGGCATGTATGACTTCATGGTGGCTTTCAGCTCCTCGTTGCCCTTCATGGCCCGTTCCCATGGTGATACGTATGTGCGAACATACTCCCTCCTCCTCTCCTCCTTTTCTGCCTCCTCATCCACTATCACTTCTACCACTAAGATGTGGGATATAAAGAGGTGGAGATCGGGAGAGAACAAGTTACCCAAGACACAAGGTTAATCTCAGCAGAAATAAAATGGGTTTCAAACAGGGTAAAAAGATAAAGCAGTTTACCTAAAAATGTAAAGTTTAAATGTAAACGTAGTCAAGGACCTGACCTATGACCTCACCTTCTTCTTTTGGCTTCTCAGGCTTTGGTGGAACAGGAGGAGGAGACATCAGGAGGTTCTCCAGGTTCTGCTGGAAGACACAGAACAACCCAGTCAAAGTCCACACAGTCCAGTGTAGGCACCTCTCCCCCCTTCCTTGACCTCACCATGTGCTCATTGGTCACAATGAACCTCTCCACCCTCTGCTGCCTCATCCTGAACATCTTGGAGCCCTTGTTGTTGAGCAGGGAGAGCTCCTCCAACATTACATCCTTAGGCGTCTTGATCTTGGTGCCCAGATCCAGCTCGGCGCCCTCATTGTCTGACTCATCGTCTGTCAGCAGGACAGAGGAAGAGGAGGATGACAAAAGGTCAGTATGTGATGATACGTGAAACACTGAATAGGCCTGTGAGCTTTTCTACCCTATATTAAACATTAATCGCTTGCAATGTTAGCATAATACACTTGTAACAGATTGTAAAATATGTAAAAAAAAAAAAAAATTTAAGTGTGAAACTTTAGAAATGTTGGACAAGATGTTTTAGAATATTCTTTGAGACTTTGAACAAATACAAAAGAAAACCCTGTAGCTCCTGATTTGTGTTGCTCACACTTTTTAATAGGATTTCCTGCAGCCTTGGCCAGAGTACAACTGTAGACCCTCTCAGCTCCAGCTCTTGTCAAATAAACCCATTTGGCAAATTAAAAAGTAGGTTTCTCTTCCAATTTCTGCCCGATATTGAATCAGCGACAGAGCTGTTCAGTACATATGCTCATCCTCTGGACTGCGCTCCATACTTGCTGTGATATATTACTGTGACCGTCTCCTGTGTTAGAGGACGTGGCTGTGAAGCCAGAAGAGTCGTCAGCGTTACTAGGTCAAAGCAATATATTGGAGAGGAAAAGGGGCACGGGGGAACGTGACAACAGGTTTTCTGGTCGAACTCTTAATGGAGGGAAATCCTCATAACCCACACGGTCACACCTCTTCTCCTCCCCTCTCTCCCTTCTCCTCTTTCCTCACAGTGATGGAGAGATCTGATGGATTTTACTGCTCCACAGAGCTGCTCATAAAACACTCTCATCCACCACGTATACTCTGATATCACTCATAACACCTGGAGTCCGGCCATAAACCAACACACACGCATGAAGGGAGAAAGAGAGGGAGGAAAAGGGAAGGAGAGAGAGAGAAGGAGAGGAATAGAGAGAGATAGGAACATCTATAAAGCAAGAAGTTGGCATTGCAATGCTGCAGAGGGCTGTTAACAGTAGCTCATAAATCAGACTTGTACAAGTGGGTGTGTATCAAGTGTGTGTGTGAGAGAGAGGGAGAGAGAGAATGTGGAGTTCTCTCTCTCCTTCTCCATCTCTATCACACACACACACCTACAGAAAAAGAGAGAGAGAGAAAATAATTGAAGCTGCTGAGCAGAGCGAACTCTCCCGTGGGGATATTGATTAGAGTGTTAATTCAGAGGAATGTGAAACTGGAGCTGGCTGCTGACTGGGAGGAAACTGGACAAACTGACAGAGGCAGGGGCCAGGGGACAGAGAGACGGCAAACACGGGGAGGGACAGACTGTTGGAAGAAGACTTTGGCAGGAGTGAGGGATGAATGGGTCAACGATAACACAACAGACCGCCAAACAGTGGCTCTGAAACAGACCCAGACTTAGTGACTCAGGAGGAGACACAGACTAAGACAGTTAGGACAGTTAGGACATGGGCCACATGTTGGGGCCTATCTCCTAACATATGTCACCAAAGAATAAATTCCTAAAATATGGAATATTTAATCCAGTGTCCATGTTCGTAGTCCATTTTAAAATGTCTGCAATATCTCAGTACTGTGTTAAATTCATTGCCTTTTCTTGATATGTCCCCCAGGCTCATGGTAAAATGGCTGCTGCCAATTATGTATTCATTTGGTTATTTATGCTGGTTTGTGAAAACTGGGATTTCCAATGAGTGTAAAAATAGCATGGTGTAAGTTTGGACGAAGTTCAGCTGCACAGTGAGAGTCTGAACAGACGGACCCACTGGTGAGTCTGGCTCAGTGACATGTAATATCTGTTTTTTTTTTGTGAGTCTTTTCCTGAGCAGGCAATAATTTTAGGAAAATAAATAAATGGGTGTCATCTGCTTTGGCTAACGGCTAATGTAGCGTCGCACACAGCAGTGAAAGTCTGAAAATGGGCCACATCCCAGCAAGACATGTCTCATGTTGTGTAAGATGTTATTGTACTTCATGGGATTACCTGTGCACGTGTGTACTAGTGTGTATCATTAGAACACCACGTTGACATGCTGCGAGTCAATTTTCAGATCGTACAGGGGACAAATCTTAACAATCAGACTTGGCATTTACTGGGTTAGATAATCAGTTCACAATATCTGTAAAGGATGGAGAGAGAGAGAGGGAGAGAGGGAGAGGGGGAGAGGGGGAGAGGTCTGATCTGACGAAGACCAGAGTCTGTGTGTGTGTCTGTGTGTGTGTGTGTGTTACCGTTCTGGCTGATGTTGGACAGATCAGTGATGATCTTGTTGGATTTCTTCCTCTTGTTAGAAGGAGCAGCAGTTGTGAAAGACATGGCTACAGAACAGTTGAAGAAAATTAAATATTATTCAAATAATAATTATGAATGCCTCATCATAGCTGATTCACAAATTTGTGTGTAAAAATGGTAAAAAAGTACACATTTATCCTATTGTATTTTATCAGTATCACACACTGATTACTGCTGTTGTACTGTTGAAATCTTTCTTCCTTTTGCGTCAGAAACTTGGTTTTCAAACCCGCAGCCTTCGTGTTAAATAAGTTACACAACTTTCATTATCTTTTCTAATGCAGAGGGAGTCTATTTTTAGCTAGTGCTCTAATTAGCACGTGGCCGTGCCAGCAGTAGCAGCTAACAGAATACTGATTTTACACTGGTCAGGGCACAGAACCATGACTGTGTGTGTGACTGGTTCCTGTGTACTGGTTGTTTAAATACATCAGTGATTACTGGTACTTCACTGACTTTTATTATGTTTTGATTGATTTTTTTTATTTTGATTGTGATGTAATTTACAATGCCATTGACACAAAACAACATTATATGTCTAATTAGTATTTTTAAATACACAGCAGCCTGAACTTATAATATAAGTAATATAATATAAGTATTTATTCTATAATATATACAATAAAAAACATATGATACTCATATATGAAGAAGAAATGTTATTGTGGTATATGTTGGATTTATGGTGGCGCTTTGGCCCAGAGGCAATGTCTCTGTCATTGGTGTGGAACCCCAGGGTTCACCTCCTGGGCAAGTTCGAATCCCGGTTAGAGCGGTTGGTACCTTCCAGTGGACTCACCACCCACAGGAAGGTTTGGGGGGTTGGTACGGTGCAATGTGATCTGGGTGGCGACTGCTGCCCGCAACCCGGTAACGGATAAGCGGATGAAAATGGATGGATGGATGGATGGATGTTGGATTTATGTATTCATACATAAATTGGTTGGTTTAATAAAGTAATTGAAACAATGTACTGAGCTAAACACCTATTGAAACATATACACCTAAAACTTACAAACCCGAAATTGAAACGTGTCACCATTGGTGTGAATATTTTACTATTACATTCTTAAATCTCTTAATCAAGAACTATCTGATCCTAACTACAATATTAATATAGTCCAGAATTTTCCTTTTCTGACAAGTTAGTTTTAATACTTAATAATAATAATTAAATATATTAATGTGATATCCACATATTATGATAAAGGCTATAATACACATTACAGTAAAAAAAAAAGCTCATTTAAGATTCTCACATTCTGTGACAATAAACATATTTTACCTGTTCACACACAGATAAAGGGCCATTACCACTAATACAACCTTATTAACCTGGCTGCTAAGCTGGTCTGGCTCCTGGCGAGGGCCAGGACTGAATTAGCACCAACACACTGGTAGGCTGTGTAACACGATACAACAAAAGTGTGGAACCACTTCTATGTATACCGGAAAGTCACACATCACTTGTAAAATAATAGCGAGCTCCAGCAGAAAGCTTTCCTGACTAATTAAGTTAAACACTTTTTTATCTGAGTGTATCATCTCCTAATGCCCCAGAGGACTGTAATTCCCCTCGGAAGCTTCTGTCTCTCTTGAGTAACTACTCAGATAGGACTGGCAGTATGTCGCTGTCTGTTGCGCAGGTCAAACACAATTATGTGAGGCCGAGGTGAGCTGCGGTACAAGAGGAAAAGCTGGAGAACTCGTCTGTGGGGAGACAGTTAATGTAATTGCTTTTCATCTGCTGTAACTAAAGCTCATTTCCTAGCTGGGGATTCAGTCCTGTGTGGGCTATTTTTATGAACCCACGTTCTATACCTTCAGTAATCAGCAGGGCTCATCATCAGGCTACATAAAAAACACACAAACCCAGAGGCCTGGGCCATAATAACTTTTCTATTGTGATTAATTTCTGAATGTTCTGTAAAAGGATCTCAAGATGGGGCGGGGTCAGTGTTTGTACCGAGGAGCCCTGTACAAGGTCCTAGGTTCTGTTACCACCTCTGTGACAGAGGAGGCGCTCCTGTGCCCCACGACCAGCCTGTTTTAGCTCCTGATAAATCTCTAGGGGACAGCTGTAGGGGAAGGGCATCAGTCAGCACATTCCCGCATACACACATACATCCATCCACGTCAAGTGAAAACTCCACCACAGTGGAGCAGATTCCTCACCTACCGCAGAGGTAGGAATTGGAAGTAGTGGAGTGAAGTCATCTGTGTGTCTGATTGTTCCAGATACAGATTAAATTATATTTAAATGGACTAATTATTCCAGAATATCCAACTATCAAAGAATGCTCTGTACAGTGTGGAGCGTTAATGGGCGGTTACTGTGGTTACAGACAGTACACAGTATGAAGCTGAGCATCTGCCTCTGATTCGCTCATTCATTAATTCATTTAGGCCACACACACACACACACAGACCAAGGCCCCTCCTCCAGACAGCATCTCCTGACCTCAAACATTTACAGTCAATTACAGAGGAACCAAAAGTATCTGACAACCCAGTGACCACCAGTGTGCGATAATCCACAAACACTCACGGCATCCCAGAGTCAGCTGCGTTTGAGTTCCTACCTAAAAGACCCAGGTGTCCACCGAAACACAAGGTCCCAGACGGAGAATGTGCGACGCAGTGACGAGAATTTAAGCTTTGGAGGTAGATTGTGTCCCTCGGTGTGTGTATTGTACCGCCTGTCCTTCTCTTCGCCACGGAGAGAGTGAAACCCTATCAGCAGGGCTGCTGCTGTGCTATAGACCTGACCTGGGTGAGGGGTGGTGAGGTGAAATGGGTGGGGGGGGGGGTCAAGTGGGTGGAGGGTGTGGTGTTAGAGTTTAAAAGTTGGTGTGACGATGAATAATGAAAGGACGGTTTGTTTACTAGGGTTTTCATTGACGGTGGAAGGAAAATCTTGACGTCAAGATACAAAGCGTCTTCAATATTAAGAGTAATGTTTTGTAATTAAACATGTCCACCGACTGTTTAGAACTTTATTTAAAAATACCTACAGAACTGATATTCTCGCTGAGCAAAGGATAAATAAAGAGAGGTCAGAGCAAATGAAGGAAATATTGAAATAGAAATCCATGGGTCTTGCTCTGCCCCCTTACCTCCCGCAGTAGCTCCACGTTCCCCACTTATAAAAACCTATTATCACAAACAGGGAACAGCAGCTGTGCGTCAACCTTCACCTCAGGTCAAGTACAGCTGCAGACTGTACCCTCAATAAATCCTCAGACATCTTTAAGAAGATCGGGCCAGACTACAGCAGAATGGATGGTTGTTTTAGCAAAAGGAGTGACTGCTACTGTTTTTTTGTACGAGTCTGTCATCTCCCACCCTCTTGAAGGCTGTCAAAGAAAGCCACTTGTCCTGATTCTTAGAATCCGTTTTGATCTTCACTTGAAGACTTGAAGTCTTTTGTGGCTGAATCTTAAAACCCTGCCTTTGAAGTGTTACACACTGGCCTAAAGCTTGACAATTTTTCCCCATCCTATCATATCCAACCATAAAACCACAGCGGTTTGTGATAATATCATAAAAATGGAGAGAGAGAAAAAAGATCCTGTATTTCCTGCAGTTCTTTTTTTTCTTCCCTGTCACTCAGACAGTTAAGCTTCTGTTACCTCTTCTAACAGTCTCTTTACCCTCCTCCTCCTTCCTTTCCTCCACCTCCGTCTGCATGTCAGACCTGTGCCTGGCAGCAACTGCAGCCATATCATTGTGTCATTCCATCATCCATTCTGTGCTTCAGTGTTCCAGACAGTGTGGCAGATAGCAACCACAAGAACTCAAGTGCTTTGCAAAAAAAGAAGAATGCAAAACTGAGGTTGAAATTTTTGCAATTTTTCCCTTCTCCTTTCAGTCAGTTTAAGGTTAAGTCTCTTTTTTCCCTCGTCAATAACACTGACATTAAGTTTATAAAAATCACACTAATCTTTGAACATAATTTATATATGAGGTGACCTACAGCTGAACCATGACCTTTGACCTTGGTTCAATTCTGTTGATCCAGAAACACGTTGTCTTGGTGAAACATGACGACGTGTATGAGGCTGTGGTTCTCCTCTCTTCACAATCACATTGTGGAAATAGCTGCAGATTAAATTAGTAAAATGAGCTGTTTCTATCTGCGGTGTGTGTGTGTGTGTGTATGCAGGGTAACAGAGGAATTATTAGCAGTGAGGAGAGAGATGAGAGGAGGTGAATTTATTATTATGGCCGAGCTTTAAAAGAGCCGCTTCAGTCCAGTCATTACTGTAAGTGCAGCTACAGCCTTTCTACAATCCTGTGACCTAGTTTGCAGAAAATTAAATGTGCAGGACATTGGAGATTTTTCTTGTGTAAAATGTGTGTTGTACTTTCTATCAGCAGATAAGCTAACATTACTAGTGAAACCGAACAGGACTAAAGTTAGCTGCTGACGTCGACCTCCTCTGTCAACTGATCTCAGTCAGGGGTCATAGGTTAGATCCCGTTCTGTGGTCCTGATTGGGTTTCACAGCTCCAAGGCCGCAGGTGCGTGCCATTAAACGGCTTTAAAACGTAGGCCAACGATCCCTCATACAGGGACGTTTTTGACTGCATTTATCTGATGTCAACACTTATGGGCCTTAAATATATTTGGACATGTGTGTCTCTCAGAAGCCTATCCTTTTGTCCTGTGAAATAGCAAACGCAGTTACAGCTCTAATATCTTTTTATGGGATGTAGGTTGAGTGTTATTCAAATTTATTTGAGGTTTTTTTTTTTTCATTTTTGTCATATTAATTGTGACTGACATTAAACCAATGTTTAGTCTCAGAACGAGTCAATTTACTGATTGTTAAAAGTAAAAGTACCTTTTCCTACACTGCCTCCATGTGGTGAAATGTAAAAACAAAACATTTATTTCCTGTGTAAATCTAATTTCTGATTTTCTTTTTTAAAATCCCTGACAAACAAGTTCATTGTTGAACTCATAAAATAAGAAGATAAAGGGCAAATATCCATGGGAGGAACAGCTACATTGAAGAAACACAGTTGACACAGCCAGAAACAGAGTGACAGCTGAGGTGAGTCATGTCTATTTTTATTCAGCCACATTTCTCACAGCTAAACAGACACGTTGCACTTGTTCCATATCAGAACTCTAACAGGAAGTCTACTGTAAAAGTGACAGCTGTGCTTGTAATAAACTACATAAACCCAGCACACACTACACTACAAACTGCAACTCCAAAACAAACCAAAAAAAAAAAAAAACACTCACTCCTCAAACACATACTCTGAATATACAAGACACAAGAGAACTTACTTAGGTGTAGTGCTTCAGAAGGATGTTAGGCAGTGTTAATATATTGTATGATAACAGTGTGATACATTTAATCAATTTAGAAAAAAAGGAGTCCTGTCCAAGTTTAAAATCTTAGTGTATTAATCTAGACGGGGGAGTCCGGACTTTGACTGCCAAGGTCACACTGTGCTTTGGATTCTCAACTGTGTGTGTGATGTCATTACATTGGTTTCCCTGACCAAGAAGCGTTGGGGTGTCAATCTTCTCATTGGCCAACAAGGCTTTACAGATAGGGTATACTGCCACCTATTGACTTGACTTGTTTCTGACAGCACTTTAAATACTACAGTACAGCAGTACTGAGAATATTGTTACTACTGTGATTATGACAGGCCTAACTATCTCATGGAAAACAACTGTGAAAGCCATTCTGCTCTCATAAATAATATGTCACACCTGTTAACACTTCTTTAGCCATTTTTATGTCACTTCATCACTGCCTTTCCATATCTTTCCCACCTTGTCTTCATCTCTCTTGTTTTTCACATCCTCGTTTCTTCATATGTATGTTTAACCACGATTCTCTGTTCATTCAATAGCTTATTTACAGAACCTCATCTTCTCTATCTCTTTCTGATCTCTCAATCTGCAGCAGCATTTTGAATTGTCGTTCCTGCAGACCAACATCCCTGTTTTACTTTGCCAAGGACAGTGTTCCCTTTGAATGTGACACAAAGGATGAGTTAAAAGTATTTGTTTAAAATGACATCCTTTGTAAATATATCAAACACAGTGGTTTCTGTTCAGCCATAAGAGGAGAACATACTGCAGCCCACTTACTAGTATTCAATTTGTTTACTGTGAGTTGATATGGAAACACGGTGAACAAACATGGCTGCCTCTACAGAGAAGAGGTGTTTATTCTAGGTTAATGAAGATGAAGCCAGACTATCCAGTAAGATCACATTCCCAAAACTAGAACCTTAGAACCATAACATTAGTTTTACTTAAATCTTACATTAATATTACATTACATTAATGTGTTAATAAAGTTAGTAATAAAGTGTGTTACATATGTGTGTTCAATTCCCCAAATAATTAGTAATAAAAAGTGAATAATAAAACCCAATACTTCAACTCTGATTAAAAATATAACATTCCTTACACCATGTATTTATTACTGTGTAAAAACCCTCCATGTTTTCAACAAGGACCAGTTTCTTATTGCGTGTAATAAAATCAGGTCAGTGCATGGTGGATCCAGGGCGCCAGACACAAGGCTGCAGACCCAAATTTGAAGTGCTGAACCTGGGCCTTGGTACTCTGGTTAGATGAGTAATGTTTGAGGCAGGCTGAGAGGCAGTGGGACTAAAGAGCCTGAGATTCGGAGCACTTTTAAAATCCCTGTTGGCTTGTGACGTGGTGGAGGGATGGAGGTGGGAGAAGGAAGGTGACGGGACTGGGTTTGGAGCAGGAGGAGAAGAGAAGGTTGGGAGCTGAGGGAGGGGAGTCGTTGGGGCTGGAGGCATTGTGGGAGACAGGGGACTGTTTGTCCATTGAGACTGGTAAGTTTGGGGTGGAGGCTGATAAGGTTGGTAGGAGTCAGGGCCAACTGTGGGTGGAGATATTAAATCAGAGCGCCACATTGGTTCTCCGAGTGTCGTAGCTGATCGGGGGACAATAACTTTGAGGGCAGGTCCTGTAGCTGTTGGAGGAGGCGTGGAGAAACGCTTTACTTCGTAAACCCTTGCTGTTTTCATAGGAGCACTAGTCATTCCTCTCTGCTGCGGCTGATAAGTGGAGGTGTCCTGTGGAACGCCACCTCCGTAGTTGAACAGCGAGGAATTGAGCTGGTAGGGCTGGTGGCTCATAATGTCCACTGGCTTGATGCTGGCTTTACACCCTTTAGATCCAGCTGGGCTGAACTTTTTCACCTCAGGCTTCTTCTGGGCCTTTGGGGGGCAAGAGGGAGAGAGAAGGGGGTTGTAGTTAATAGGAGGTGGTGCTCGGATGTTGGACGAATACTTCCACGTGGCTGGGAGTGAAGGTGTAGGTGAAGGCTCCCTGGTTTGAGCAGGAGAGTAAAGATCTGCAGCAACAGATGGCGATCGCTCTACCACATACCGATCCATCCGGCTTTGTCTGCGAGCAAACAACTGACCTCCTTTACCTGCCAGCTGGGGTACTTGAGGTGTCTGAGGTTTTGGGGCAACAGGAGGGGGCTTTGGTCCTTGTTTAGCTTGCATGAAGTTGCAGGCCTCCGCCCCAAGCCTCAACCAGTCTTCCTCAGGCCCTGACTCATGCCCGGTGTCCCCAGTAGCTACGTCTCCAGATTCAACACGTGGACTTCTTCCAAAGCGATCATCCATGTTCTGGACCATTGACAACAAATCTGGGTTAGGAGAAACATCCCTGTTCTGAACTGCACAGAACATTGGCTTTTTGTTGCTGCGCTTGCGAGCATCGAGCAGGATGCCTGTGCGAGCAGCGGGAACAGAGATGCGCTGCTCACGCGTTGCCAGTGAATCGGTGGTGGGAATCTGTGGAGAGGATACGTTACTACTACTTTGGAGTCCAGGCGCTGCTGCACCTGTCATGTTGATGTAAGGCTGAATTGATGGGGAAGGAGAAGTTTGAGTTGGAGGAGAAATATGGAGAGGCTGAGTATTTAATGAGAGACCAGAAACATTGGGATAAGGTGGGGATTGTGATAGAGCGGACGGAGGTGGGTAAGCAGGAGTGAGAGGAGAAGCAAACGGCATGGAAAACGTCTGAGCAGTTGACCGACAATCCGATGGACCATGAACCACAGACTGAGACAAGGGGGTGCAGGCAGGTGTATGAACTGCAGGGTTATCTGGAGGTGGCGAGAAAGGTACGGAAGACTGAATGGAGGGAGGGGACAGCACTGAGGTCGGGGAGTTAACACAGGGAGTATTAGTGTTGGTATTTCTTGGAGGGATGTACAGAGAGGTGCTCGACACTGCTCTCCTTGTGTCTGCCTGGGAAGGATTCGGAGTTGGTGCTATGGTCACCATGGAAATGGCTGCCACAGGTTTGGTCTCCATGGTGATGTTTGTGGGTTTGGGTTGGGGAGGGCGAAACATCACAGAGGTTACAGAAGGTCTGGAAGGGTTAGGGCCAGGAGTGAAGGGCCGTGCAGTGCGGTTTAGTACATTTTGATTAGGACTGAAGTTAACGTTCAGTTGAGGATCAGAGTCATTAGTTGAACCAAGACTAACATTAGGGTTAGAGATGTAGTTGGCATTAACATGACTTTGACTTGTCAGCTGTGTCTGGGAAGGAGTTGCAAGCACAACACTAGTCCGACTAACAGCTACAGATCCCCCATTGGTCAGTGACACAGCTGAAGGGGACATGTTTGTGGGTGTGTTACTGACTGGCTGCCTTGTGATGCTACTGTCCAGATTTAAACCCTGACAGGCTGAACTGTCATTCCCTGAGAACTCCAACTTTGAGTTTTGATCAACAGAAGTCAGATGTCCTGTACTTTGATAGGCTGAGAAATCCAGCCCTGAGCTGTGATTGGTTGTTGGTGTTGTTGAAGTAGTTGGCGTGGTTGACGGGCAAGCAGAGCTTCTCCTGTCCAGCAGATCTAGATAGCCGGAATCCCAAGTAGGGTCAAAAGATCCAGAGAAACCCTCCTCATCAACTTCAGATCCACTTTGGAAAGAACTGCCTCCTTCTTCCTCTGTTTCTCCCCCTGTGTCTCCTTCTGTCTCCCCTCCTCTGTCTCCCTCAGCTTTCCCAAAACAGGTCAGTGTGTACTTTTTGGCTCTCTGCCGACGTTTCTTAAACATAAGCACCCCTTTCGAGTTGGGATTGGGAGCATCAGTCAGCAAAGATGCAATTGAGCGGCATTTGCTTCTGGCTTCCTTCACCTGTTTCTCCACTACACTCTCCCCACGCTGCAGCTCTGCAACAGACAGAAAAAGAGACAGGCCCAAGTAAATATGTGGAAGGAGCGAGCAAGCAAAGGAGAGAAGCATTAATGGGATTTTTGATGAATACATAACAAGGCGCAGATGGGAAATAATGGAAACTTAATAGTGTGATAGTGATTTTGACTGCCAGCACTGCCTGATTTATAAAGCATTATCTCAGTGAGGAGCTGCGCCGAGGATTAGCAGTGACAGACAGGAGAGAGTGTGTGGATTTAGAACAAAGAATTCCTGATGTCACACTCACTGCCAGTGTGTGTATGTGTGCATGTGTATGTGTTATCTTGCCTGGTATTATTAGTTATATTATTAGGTACTTGGGTAATGGGTAATACAGTTTGCTCAAAAGGGGCAGAATCTTACTTTTGATGCACAAATATAGTAATTATTAATTTAATTAATGAGAAAGGTAAATGTTCTGTTTGATTTTTCTATTGTTAGATTTGGGGATAAAGGTCAAATTACTACTTAGCATATATGTAAGATGTTACCTTTTGTACAAAAGAAGGAAAGTCAATTCCAAACCTGTACATGGAATACATTTACTGAATTTGTACTTGTAGTGTCATGACTTCAAATATACCAACACATAAGTGTTGACTGATTAAAGTGTTTCTCTGAATTTGATGAGAATATCACTAATCCCCGTGGAGTGTAGGTTGAGGGTTTTGAGTTGATTCATGGGGAAAGATAATTCCAAATTTAATTAAGGTAAATCCACAGGCTGCCACAGCCTTGTCCCACAGAACAAAAGGTCAACCTGCTGATAACAGGAGAGTAAATCCTCTGAACCACAGTCACTATCTTTCATCCTTTGGAACTCGAACATTTCTGTACCAAATTCCACCACCATTGATCCAACAAATAGTGTTAAAATAGTAGAGGCATTTTGTTTTTGAACCAAGAACTGCAACATCCAAGTTATGTTCTGAGACCTAAGACAATGACAAAAAAATATGTGTAACAGTTCATGATATGTCAAATCTAACACCAAGAACATTTATGAAGACATTAGCACAACAGACCACCACACGTACACTCTAACAGGATTTTGGTTCTCTATTTAAAACCTCAAAATGTAATGCACAGTCAGAGAGGTAGGCTTATCAAATGTTCATCTTTGATATCAGTGATTAAAAATAAGCTCATGTGTCTAAAGAAATGAAACACATGACCTGTGTGTACAACTACATGCACATCTTACCTGCATACACAGTGTGTGGTCCTGTTTGTCCACTTACGTCTGTACCTGAAAGTGATGTGAGGTCCCTCATCTCACAAGTGTGTGTGTGTTTCCTTTACCTCTTTCGGGCCCTCCCACACACACTCACACACTCACTCAACCCTCAGTTCTGCTTGTAGCTGTGAAGCCGTCTGTTCTGTCTCGTCCAGCTCCTCACTCCAGGCACAGCCCATGTAAAGACCTTTGTCTCTGTCCAGCAGCCCAGTCCAACACATGACGTCAACCCCACTATTCCTGTCTATGTGACAGGCATCAAACACCTGTCCCGTCTCTGTCTCCGTGCACACAAGAGCAGGAAGGACCCTCACCACCAAAATATTTCCCCAACAGGCCAACAAAGTGTGTGTGTGTGTGTTTGCTCATGTATGAGTTCATGAAGCCAGATATAGGATGCAGGTACAGTGAGGTTGGAACTCTGCTCTCTGCATCGTATCCACACAGACACACAACCCTGCCATCAAATATCCACAACCGTAATGTGTGTTTGTAACATGAGAAAGGCCGACATCCTGCTTACAGCGGTCATCATTCATCCTATGGTGAAGCCCCAATGAAAGTCTTTAGGCTCTAGGAATCTCAGGTCATCACTCACTACTGTGGCAGTCACTCATATGAAATCACAAGTCAGTCAGTGAATAGTTTGTCACTTTGTTCAGCTGCGATCTTTACCTTAGTACTTGGAAGACAGGTCAACCAGAAAAGGTTTAAATTAACTTGGTGCAAGTAAAGCAATATGGGTAATATTTTATGCATTGTCTTCAAGTTAAAGGTAAAGTGTTTCACTTTTAAAAGGAACATCTTGTGACCGATTGCTGGCGATTTTTGTTAGATGGAGAGACTAGTTTGGAGAAGGTTTCAGACAGGTTACCTTTTCATTTTATTTTCATTTCAGTGAGTGAAGAGTGAGGTCCTGCCAAAAGTTCACAGATACAATACATTCACTGTTAACTACAGTAGCCTGGGAAAATATAATTAATGACCCCAGTAACTACTATACTACATTATTTATTTAATGCTTGTAACTGACCTTGACCACAGACCACAATCAATCAAAGAGCACCATTGACCTGTCAATCATGTCAAAGGTCAATTTACAGGTCACGACGGGGGTCTCTTATAATATGTTTTCCTTTTGTTAAGCCATTTGATTTTGTTACTTTTGAAAATGTTTAATTTCACATTATCCAAATATAGTCCCTTCCAAAATGTACAATCTTACTAAATTCTGAGTTTAAAAAGTCAATAGTACATTTGCGTTGTATAGATATATACAGTTGAACATTAGCTATCAGCAAACAAACACATACCACAGCATGCATATAGAAACGGGAGCATACTCTCATGCACCACATATTCAGCTGTGTGGCTCATGTCAGAATTATATCCAGTCTATCAATCAATGCTTCAAGGTCTATAAATACAGTCAGTGGTGCAGAATACTGACAGAGGAGATCCACCGCTGTTTCGGGGGACAGAGAACGGGGGAGAGTAGAGCAGTGGATATTGAGTATATCAGTATCTGGTATATGTCACTCTCACTCACTGTATCATCATGAGCCTGCAAACGGATGTTGCAGTTAAACCAAGTCAACACTAGAGAGTGGTCTAGCAAAGTACTTCAGCTAAGTGTGGTTTGTTTGGTTCAGTCAGTTGTATGTTTTTCTTTGGGCTTTTTTTTTTTTAAATATAATAGAAAATATATATAATTACAGCATATAAAACAACACTTGATTATAATTAATGCATATCAACTCATCAAGTCATCTAACATGGTTGCAAATTAATGTATGTTGTTGTAAGATTTGCCTTATACACAAATTCAATTATTTAGGTTCTCAGAATGGAAACAGATTTTGGGATTTCATGGACCGTCATCCCTGTCTAGGTAATCGCAAACATCTCAAACTATGGAGGTCAATCAACAGATTCAAGAACTGTTGTCCCTTTTTTATGTTTTTTTATGGCTTTGTGGTGATCTAGTATCAGTGACAAGCTTAAACAAAAAAAGGTTCCTCTAATGGCACTGTATCTGTGCTATAAAAATATATACTCACTGGCTTGCCGTGCTTTGTCCTTGTAGGTATTTGAAAGTTCATCACTGACAGGGGTCTGCTGGGGTCCCACCATGGGCACAAGTTGCTTGCTGGAGCCCAACATCAGAGCCTCTTTTGCCCGCTCAGGAGACACCAGCGGTGGGCAAGTCAGCCCACTGTAGCCACTGGCTTCCTGGAATCCACTGTCACCTTCTCCTTCTGCTTCCAGCGGCCCATGATCGTGCGGAGGAGTAAGTGTGCGAGGGGTAAGAGTGTGTGTTGGAGTGGTCCACTCTGTTTGGAGAGGTGGGTAGAACAGCTCTCGGCGAGGAACGCCAAGAAGACACTGACTGTCCCACTGGTCCTGCAGGGAAACACCTGCATCTGTGGCACTTTCATACCTGAGAAGAATAAGAGAACACAAAGAGTGAGTACATTATCTGCATTTATTCAAAGTGCAAAAACTTCATCAGTATGTGATTACTTTGTGCCCTTTTGATCACTTAAGTGCAATGTAGGCCTACATTGAACATGGTCAAGTATCCATATAATTTGATTTGAAGAGGATATATGGAGAGATGGAGTCTAAATCTCTTACCCACTCATCTCTGAGGCTTCCTCCTCTTCTGTGTTGTCATAGCGAGCAGGTGAGCGAGCATGAGGAGGTGTACGACGCTGACGCCTGTGAGAGACCAACTGTGTGTCTGCGTCACTGTCTGTTTCTCCATAGTAGGCCTCGCTCTCTGGAGGAGAAGTTATGCCCTTGCACATTTCAGTAGGGGAGAGGATGGACGTACGTTGAGAGGAAGCAGTCTGAGGCAAAGCCTTCATGGAAGAGCGAGGTGATGGAGAGCAGGAAGAGGAGTGGAGTCCGGAGGGTGCTCTGTGAGTAAAAAGATACAGAGATGTGCATCATGGCTTCCTAAAACAGGCAATGTCTCATACTGCATGTGTGTGCACTGACCTTTTCACCCTCAGACTCAGTGTAGACTCTGCGTCTATGAGTCTCATCGCCTGAGCATGACTGAGGTCAACACACATGTGGTCACCAATAGCCAACAGCTCATCATGTTCCCTTAGTCCAGCTCGGCAGGCCTTGCTGCGCCTGCGTACCTGCAAATGGAAAAATTACATTTCTGGATCGTCAAAATGATGTTGGAACCAAACCTTGGCTTTGGTGGTTAAAATTATTATAATAATAATTATTTTCTCCGTTTGATAGTAACTTAATGAGCTTATCAGTGAAATATCCTTTTAAGCATTGCTAATAAAAAAACTGAATCTTGAATTTTATGGTAGAATGATTTTTCTTTCTTAATCCTTATATTTTGTGACCTCTTGAACACAGCTCTTTTCCATAAACAAAGATCATTTCCCTGTATAAATCATGACGAATGAGGTCATGCAGCTGTTACTGGATGTTGCTAATAGATGATGTCATAGGATCTTTCTCGAATGAAGACAGTGGGAGGTGGGTGATTGATGGCTTCGTGAGTAATCATGCCCACAAGAACCTTTTAAAAGAAGATGAAAAAGTCCCTCCCCTCTTTCTCCAAACACGTAACACTTCTAATGGTAAAAATGTTGAGTGTCTTCCAGCACCTACAGTACTTGGCCCTCATAAGAGGTCACCATTTATCCCTTTATCAGTTTCCCTTGGACCAAAAAGGCCATTCCACTGTCGCACAAACACATGCATGGGCAGGTTATGTTCTTTCCAGCTTAGACAAATGCCCAAACACACAGTAGAACCCAAGTGAGCATCATGAAAGAGGGGTGTTGAACAGCTGCATTACCATTCAGCCCAGGAGGAATGAATGTCATTCGCCATATGTTCTCCACACACCCAAAATAAAACCTTGCTGGAGGAATCAACAACATTCCGAGACAGATTGGCAAAGACAGGAGCCATGTCGATGGGGAAGCTATAAACACAATCATTTTAATAACAGGAGAATAATGGTAATATGAACACTCAGTTAGGCAAGAATTCAAATTATTCTCAACCTCTCTTCTAAGCTTCTTCTGGTCAAAAATGAAAAAACATTCACATCCTCTCACATTTGTGTGGTTCTGATCTTGTATGATTTATTTTTAATTGGATTACATACTTCACTATTTCACTATCACAATTTCACTAATTTCACATTCATAGGACAAATGAAGACCAGAGCATTTACAAGAATGGCCTGTGAACTGTGTGTGTGTGTGTGTGTGTGTAGGCCTTTTTCCACCCCCAGGTTCCAGCCGCTCTTAAATGAGCTATTCTGATCCTCTACTTTATACAGCACTATCTCAGGAATGCATTTGCACACTGACACACACGGCATCATACACAAAAACAGGGACAACATGTTATGCACAAACATAAAAAAAACAAAAATAACAGACGGTGAGTTGCTTAAAAAATGTGGATAGAACCAGTGGGTGGAGCTTTCTCTGCAGCAGTTTGATTTAAAAATGATTGCAGTTAATTAGAGACAGACAAACTTTGAATATCAGTGTGAGTGAGGTCACATTTCTCCTCTCCAGAATAGCTTTTCTTAATAGAGACAACATTCTAATCTGTCATCAGATATAAACACGTTCACCAGCGGCTATAGAATAATCTAGATTTCAACAAGTGGCCAGAAGATTTTTATTGATCAATAAAATGCTTTAAAGGAGCTTACAATTTCTTTTCACCTAACAAACATAATAACATACGCACTGCTATTAGAGTGAAACTTGTCATGTATCTATATTCGCTTAGATTCCTAGGGAAACAAGTAAAAGGTAACACTGAATTACAAATGTGGTTCATTGAATAAAATTATTCACTTGTCTTTGTGTCTTTAAATGTCCACTCAAAGCAAAGTGTTCAATGGAATAAAGGATACAAAAGATGTTTGGTGTAAGACGGTATAATGATTGAGTGTAATGCATGTACTGATTGCCAAACTTTGTTCATTTCGGTGAAGCGACCATCATTCAACTATTTTTCACACAAGCTGATAACCATAATAGTGAGGATTAAATCCTTGGAAGATAATAAGTAGGCAACACAATTTCTAGGATTTCTTAAATGTGAGGTGAATGAGGAGAGGTGAAATGTGTTCAGTCAAATCAAACAACTCCAGTGTTTTACTTCTAATCTTGTAAGGAAGACTTTGAACCAAAAGAAGAACCAAAGATGTACAATAATTTAAGTACATGTACAAACTGTGATGCTGTGATTCATCCATACACAATTGTCATCCAGCTGACATGGCTTAAGCTCAGCTTTTGTTGAAAACACATATGTAAAGGTGGAAGGTTGCTAAAAAATAAAGACCTCAATAAACAGCTGCAAACTTTCTATGAAATCTCATGTAACCACCGTGGCATCTAGTTATGTGCGTTGCAAACTGACCACAAATACTCACACGCACACACACGTGAATAAACATTTTAGTTGAACCATACCTTAGCCACCTGTAGAGGCGTTTGCTGATCTACACCTCCCTGCAGCCTGAAGCCCCAGGGGCCTCCACCAGTGAGGGAGACCGCAATCTCCTCCGCTACCATCCCAACTCACAAGGTATGAAGGTGTATGTTGGGGGGGGGTATATGGTCTCCTTGTGTTCCTCGAACCCAGTGAGTATCAGTGATTGAGCATGAGGTTTCTGTTGCTGACCACAGAGAATCTCTTCACCCAGGAACAGACGCTGCGACTAGCTTTCATCTGCCTTTCAGCTGTGTCAGAGGGTGGGCACTCAGGAGGGTGAGAAGGGGCAAAAATGTGCGAGCCTGTGCCTGTGCATCCTATTCAACACTTGCCATGTCACTCTCAAGCACACTCTAAAAGAGAGGATGCTGGCTGATATATGCTCCAAAAATAGCCACCAGACCCGCTCCCTTCTTGACTCCCCTGCTCATCCAGGCTGGACAACAGCCATAGTTCATATATTTATCTTCATCTGGTTTTAGAGTGCTTAAGGGGGGGTTGGGCGATGGAGATATTTTGGGAGTTTCACATGGTTTACTGTCTATGCATTTAAACAGCTGTAGAAGGGATGCCAGAGAAAGTTATGATTCAGGCTTTTTTTGTTGGTTGATGAGCTGATGAATGCAGGCTCCTTGGCTAGCTTGTGCTAGCTTCATCATCTCTCAGATAAATTTTAAGTTTTCATCAATATGTCAAATAACAATCAAGATCCCTATTATGACTTGTATAAGTGTTACGCCAGAATAAATAGATATAAAGGAGATTAACAAATTAGGCACTCACCAGGTTAAATGAGCAGGCTAGCTTTTAATACATACTTCTTTAGACATAATTTCTGAACACACTGGTTTTATTAAGCAAAGTCTACTATTTCAATCAAGAAACAACATTATTTAACTAAACACAAGGTAAAAAATAAAAAAGACTCTGGACACGTTCCTAAAGACTATGTAATACCTGCCAAGACACAAGTAAATGCCTTAGTCCATTCTGGAAATAAAGTTTTAAAATAGGCAGTCACTAGAGACCTTCACATGATGAACTGCAAGGTTGCAGATCTAGCAAAACTTTATTCTAGGCCAAACTGACATTTTCTGAGGATAATTAGAAAAAGATATTGCGTTTATGATTTTAATACACTGAAATATGAGATTACAAACATTGAAACATGAAGATAAGAGTACAACACTGCAGATTATGCATTTAGAACTGTGATATTATGAAATATAACACATTTGTCCAACACTTGTAATAACCTAATACGATAATCAACAGTCTTAAGTTTGACGAAATGCTGTTGAAAATGGATTTCACTATTATAATAAATCATATAAATCATGTACCAATAACTCTAGAATATCAGTAATTAATCATTGTATGTAACTATATATGTTAATTCAAATAATTAAAAAAAACTGAGTGCAGGGTAAAAACTTTCAAAAGTAAAGAACACATTGAGTTTAACAAAAGATCATAAAACTTCATAATTATGGTTTACTGCGATTTTAAAAAGTACTATTTGGAAAAACAGGAAGTCAACATGCTCTGTTTATAAGCACCAATTATTTACTAGTAACCAATATTAAAATGAGACAGGGAACAGTTAATATTTTGGTTTAGTGTCTACAAATGTAAGTTTGCATTACAATATATGCTGTTATTGTATCAGCATGACTCCGGCGGAGCAAGAGAGTTTAAGGTACCGGAAGTCCTTCTGCGTTGTCCGGATGTGGACGTGGCAAAGCACCGCAGTAGTTCCGACGAGTTCCTGTCCCTGATTCTGAGGACGGATTAGTCAAAAATACCCCGGGACGATATCGGCCCTAGAGTTTGTCGACCGCCGGGTTCTGTAGTTTGTCGCGTACAGAGGATATCATCTACTATTCACATAAGTCCGAAGGTACGTTTGAATATGAGACGATCTGAAACATGACAGTTCATAAAAGGAAGTCTGAATTTTGCTGCGTTAGCTCATGCTAAGCTACTTAGCATCGCCGCTGATAGTCGTGCTGCGGCTACAGCTGATTTAGCCGCTGTCATTGTGGGTTCAATTATTTATACGAGTTTTCACTAGATTCTAAGTGTCGTTAATAGTAAATCTGCTATAGCAGTTTTTATATATAATTATGATTATTTATTATGTTACATGCTGTTTTAAAGTCTTGGCTGACATGTTGTTGTGCTCGGGTTAGCCAGAATGCTAAATGTAATGCGGCACTGAGGTTTGTACCTGTTAGCAGACAATAATAAACTTTCAAGTTTCTCTTGTTGTCACCAAGAAGAGCTACATATCTGGCGTCTGGTTTTCCTTTCGGATATATGCAGTCAACTAATGACTCATGACAAAACTGCCGAATCTGTTCCCTAACTTGGGTCAGTCAGTGGGGCAGATGTGGGTCACTCAGTAGGCCGTACGGCTCCAGCTATTATATTTCTCTTTGTGGCACCTGCACCGCTGAATTATTCAAAGCCTCCCCTCGTTTAGCTTGTGTTTGTGCTGTTAGATGATACCCGTCACTCTGTCATTGAAGGTAGTCACCAAACAAGCTCGATAGATCAACTGTGATGTGTGGCTATTAGTAAGTTAAAGTTGACATGTGTATTGTGTATAGATAACTTCTTAAGAGTGGAAAAAGCAATGCATTGCAATAGCACCATATGGATGTGTATGATTTATAACAAGAGGTTAAATTTGAACATTCTGACACATGAGTGTAGGCAAACTTCAATATCAGAAGCATATTTATTAGTTATATAGACAGTGATTTTTAGGATCACAAGAACTACATTAAAAAGTCTGGTTTCTCAGGATCCTTTCTAGATACCTTTGCCTTTAGCAAAGACATTTTTACAATGTACTTGGAAATAGAGTCACTGTGTCAGGCCTTCCTACCTGGTGAAGAAACAACACATCATGGGTGTGACCATACAAACAAAGCAATCTGATAAAGGCAGTGTAAGTGTGCAAGGCAATGGTAAAAAAAGAAGAATGTTGAATTTGGTACCTCACATCCTTCTGGTGATATGCTCTTTGAGGTTAAATGTATCATGCACAAGTTTTTGTTAGTTTAGGTACAGGACAAGCGGCTCAGCCAAGTATGTCCTTGTATGACTTACACTTGTTGTAAATAATGTTTTGTTTTTTAAATAACACTCAAAGGATTTGAATGTTTCACAATACTCAATTATTAATTCTTTTACCTGCCATTACACACTGTATTATTTGCCAGAAGTCTATATTCTTAATACACATGTTACTCTACAGGTTTGGCATATTTGCTTTTTCTCTCCAGCATTAGGCATGAACTGAGGATGAATGTAAACCAGCACACTCCAATGGCTTCTCCATATGGCCAGCCACAATCTGGCTACACTCACCCTGGCTATGCCCCTCTAGATGGAGCCTACCCTGCTCCTTATGCCCCCTACAATGGCCCTGCTTCTGCCTACCAACCTGGTGTACCGCCCCAAGGTAAAATTAGCCAACGACAAACCTTGCCGCGTTCTTCTTTTTCCACTTTGATTTTCTAAAATATGCACAAACAATGTATATATTCAGCCTTCTATCAAAGACAGGCAGAGATACCATTTTTTATTTTACAATTAATACAGTAATACCTTGAGATATAAATGTCCCGACATACGAATATTCCGAGGTACGAGCCAGCCTTCATGCAGTTTTTTGCTTTGAGATATGAGCACGCTTACAGATGCTGATGCTAGGTGTCAAAGCAGCCCACGCCTCCTCACTCGTTCACTTCACGTGTTCATCGACTTCCGTGCACATCTCCCGCGAGTCTTCCGTATTGTGTTTGCATTATCCAAGTGATTTTCTCTCTTTTTTGTGCATTATTCTTCATAATAGTGACGAGTCCTAAGAAAGTTAGTGGTAAGGATGGTAGGGAGAAGGAGGAAAAAACAGAAAAGTAAAATAAAATATGTAAGCTATGTTAAATTAATTCTAAGTTTATGTAAGTTACGTAGTGTACGTGTAAGGTAAAGTACGGAATCAAGTGTCAAGTGTTTTTCCTTTTATTTCTTATGGAAAAAATGATTTGAGATAGGAGCACCTCGAGTTACGAGCTCGTTCCTGGAACGCATTATGCTTGTATCTCAAGGTATTACTCTACTGGCATTATAGGCACTCACATTATAATAATCATTATTTAAATGTTGCTTGTGCAGAGATCTAACATCTCAGTTATTAACATTTCTTCTTCCTTCACGTTGCTTGATGTGTTTCTTCTACTTCTTGCTGTGTTTGCATCCTTTTCCCTCTTTGCTGTATTTCAGATTATTCTCCTTTCACAAGCTTTCCCTCTAAAGTTGTGGCAGCCACCCCAGTGTCTGACCTCACCTCTCCCCTTGACTTAGGTAATGGGCTCATCCTTTTCTTGGTCACTTTACACAGTCTATTCTGCAATGACACAGTGAGACCTTTCCGTAGTAACATGCTTTACTCTTGCATTCTTGCCATTTATTCTTCTGCTAACATAATGTCAGTTAACTTTTCAGCATCTAACATACATCATGTCTTTTTCAAAGTTTTACTGCAGTTGGACTTTGCGCAGTGAATGATTTAAAAAGATACGTTGGTGTCTTTAAAAAGACCATGGGTGACATTTTCCAAGGTGCACTTTAAATTGTTTTAAATCATCTTTGGCACTTTTGTAAAACTAAAGTGTAGGTTTTGAGTGACAAGCGCATTTCATACATACACCATTTAATGATTTAATTTTGTAACACATCTCCTTCACACCAGTTGACAGCATCTGAACTGAACATGTGAACGTTTTCTTGGATGTGTTGCAGCCTGTCACCATGTTGAGCTTGTTGCACCAGTCTTGTCACATTTTGGAATATGATCACATTCAGATGGTGCCTATTACCCCGTATCAAGTACAAGATTTTTTTAGAGCAGTGATTGATCCGTTCGTACTTTTCAGGTCCCAGTAGAGGTCCTCCCACATCTGCACCTCCACCGGTCTCGGCGTCTCAAGCATATCATCAGTACAGTCAAGGGAATGTACAGAATGGACCTCCACCTATGACACAAGCACCTTCCAGGTAATTATGCTCTATGAACGTCCTGTATATAACTGTAATAATTTTGAGCATGGTATATGGTTTCTACAACATTAATGATGAGTAAGAACAACCGCAAACAGTTAGAGAACATTTTAAAAATAAAGAAAATATGTTATTGGTCACTTGAAATGAGATCTGTAGCTTCATCATAACTTGTCATACCATCACAAAGCTGTTTTAATCATGATTTCATTAATGAAACAAACTCCTGGTTGTATAACACAAATGTATCTGTATCTGTCCAGGCCTCCTGTAACTCAGTCGTACAACCAGGGAGCAGTGAACTTGTCAGAGCAGCACTCGAACTACCCACAACAGTATGTGCCCCCTCCCACTATGCATCAGGTCACCAACCAGATGAGTGGCATGCAGCTCACACCTGGGTCACCAACTCTGGCAGGGCCAGGATGTGGTACGTCTGAGTTTAAATAGGGATTTACTTTAACAAATAATTGTGATTTTTGCCATCTTTCACACTAGTTCACTCTCCTGGAAATAACATTGTATTTTTAACAACTGCTGCGTCCTACGTCCCAGTAATGTAGTTCATTAATTGGTTTCTTATGACAGATGGAATTTGGGAAAAGAACTGATTTCATCTGGAATTTCTGTTCTTTCTTGAAGGACAGAGTGAGACCCTTTGACAATGACTGTTTTTAAACTGTTACTGTTTTTTAAAAATTATTGATCCCAATAATACTGCACTTCACTTAAACACCATACACTATACTATACACTTTATAAAGCAATACTATATTTTCAATGATTTTGTTGTTGTCATAACAAATGTCTTCAATGCCTGTTCTTTTTTGTTCGTAGTTCCACCTCAGAGCTCCCAGCCACCCATCAGTGCGCCCTACTCGGCTGCACCACCACCCACCTACACCCAGGCCCCTCCACCAACATGCTCTGCTCCTACCCATCCACCACCTCCCAGTGGCCCTGTGCCCTCTCAACAGTACTATGGAGGGCAGCATCCTCCGGCTCAACATGCTTTCAACTCTTCTCTGCCCCCTACTTCTCAGCAGCAGTTTAGCTCCCATGCACCGCCACCACCTCCTACTCAGCAGACTTATCCCCCATCCTCCTTCTCGGGTTCGATGCCTCCAACCAGTCAAGTTCCGGCTCCACCAGTGTCCCAGCCACAGCAGTCCTTCCCACCTAGCCAACCTCCCTTTTCTTCAGCCCCCCCAGCTGTGAGCCAGCCAGCCTTTCACGCTGGTCCTCCTTCCTCTGCTCAGGGCTCCTTCCAACCCAGAGCACCGCCTCCTTCCTCTCAGCCTGGACCTTTTCCACCCCCTGGGCCTTCTCCCACCTCCTCTCCAACTGGACAGTATCCAGGCCCTATGCCCCCTCTCCAACAACCCCCTCCAACCCAGCCATTCCCTTATCACTCAGGTCCACCACCTTCAAGGACTCAAATGCCTCCTACTTCAATGGCTCAAAGCAACCACCTGCCTCCAGGACCACAGGGCCCTCCAGGGCCCCCTGGGCCCCTACAGCAACCTCAGCCTAGCATGCAGGGAGGATACCCACCTCAGCAGAATGGTGAATCTTCTATTGATGAGTCTAATTATTTTTTACTGGGAGATTTTTTTTAAGTTGTTCAATTAATGCCTCTTCTCCCTGTCCAGGTGCTTATGGACAGGTAAGAGGCCCTCAGCCTGGCTATGCAGGCCCTTATCCTGGGCAACCAAACTATGGAGCCCCTGGACCAGCACCGGCTCCTGCTCCACCTTCACAGAAAAGACTCGATCCAAATGCCATCCCCAGCCCGGTGAGTAAAAAAAGCAGACGTGTAGCACAAAAGACCATTTCTAAATTGGAATTTTGAAAACACACATCAATATTGAACCTAAAAGAGATTTGAGGTTCCAATTTAGCTTTTAATGATCAGTTTTGTTCTTCTGATAATCTCAGTTTCAAAGCTTTGTCAGCAATGAAGCATCATTGATACACTCTGTGATTGATTCTAACCTTTCTTAACTTTTGATATTGCTTAGCCTGTGTTCTCTAGGCTCCACATGTTAGAAAATACGTACTCACTGACCACTTAATTAGGTTAATCCCACCAGGTTGTATAAAGTTTGCAGCATGGATTCAACCACAGCAACTTTTCCAAGCAAAGTTGCAACATCACATCACTGCCAGCCAGAACCTTTGATACGAGGCTGAATGTTGCAGCAGAAAATGCTGATCTCAAATGCTGATCTCAATCTCATGTGTAATTTGCTCAGCTGACAGTAGTGGTATCTGGTGAGAGCTGCTGCTGCTGCTGTGGCTTTTTGCTGCAATATTTGTTTTGTTGTGGCTCCACATGGCCATTTCAGCTTTTGCAGCCTTGCTGTCTGTTTTAACTGGCAGCTTTTCTCTGACTGCTAGCATGCACAAGGTGAGCGCTCCATAGTACTAACTGAATTGTCTCTCTTGCTACAAATTTTGCTGACATCTCTGATGTTTGTGTAGGAGTTCATTAGATCAGCTATGTTTACGCTATCCAGCATTTGATATCAACAGCTATTCAATATTTTAAGCAAAAACATTTGTGCTCTGTTTGGATGCTTATTTGGAGCTCCAGCAGACCACCCTGACCTGTTGAATGTCTATGAATAAATGGATGCAATGTTGCTGCCATGTGTCTGAAAGATCATATTGTGACATTTAAGAGCAGTTCAATAGATGTACTTAATAAAGTGGCCAGTGAGTGTGCATCAGTCTGTACTTGACTGTCATCTAATCTATAATCAATTTAACTGACCACTGTGTTTGATTAACAATGCTGCTTTCTACACAGTATCACTGAGTTTTCTCTCTAACTCTTCTTTTTTTATAAGAAATAATAAAAAAAACTTTTTACTCTCTGTATTCATTTATTATCTTGTCCTGTTTTGCACAATTTGCTGGACAAACATTTGAATGTAAAGCAAGCGTCTGACATGCCGGCCGTGCAGAAATCACGACATAGAATAGATCCAGATGCTATTCCCAGCCCAGTAAGTTTCCTGTGTGTGCCTGCCTTGTCCTTCACTTCATTCTGTCGTCTCTGCACGCTTTTCATTTACCTGCAGCCCTTACCTCCTCTTTTTCCCATGGAGTCCCTTCCATGTTAGCCACCCTTAGAGATTGTGTGCCATCAGTTTGAATATTATAGGTCTGTTAGATATTGTTTCAGCCATCGCTGCTTGTTTGTTTCCAGCCGGACAGGTAACATGACATAAATGTGTGTTTATTCTTTTCATTAAATCAGCTGTAAGGTCATTAGGTCATCATCCTCATTTTAAAATACTCAAAGCTGTTTGTTTTGCGATTATTTTGATATCCAGTAAGCCCATACAGTCCACCTCCAGCTCAGTCTTTTACTGTCTTGCATGATGACATTTGATTAACAGCATGCCTTTCTTCTCTTTTGGGGGATCAGGGAAGATTTAGCCTGGTACTGCACCAAATGTCACCATTTACATTTTGTCCACAGATGATATAATCATGTGATTGTGTGTGAGCCTGCCTGTGTGTAGAGGTTGTGTGAAGGGTCTTTCCTGTGTGCATTTAAGACCACGTTTCCAAGAAAAGTATTGCGTATTATTGTAAAAACCTGTCTCCAGAAAACTTGGTGAACTTTCTGGATGTACAATAAAACTAAGATCTACAGCCAGGTATCTGACATGGACCTTTGGTCTAGTAGGATAAGAAGCAAAAACAAATATTGTTTTAAATCACAAATATTAAACTTTTTGGTACACATCCATGTCAATTTATTGGAACTGTGTGAAGGCTGCAGCATCAATAACAGAAACTGCTATAAGACTAGGAGAGCAAAAAGACTGTAAACTACTGGTGAAGTTGCACTAGTCATTCTCATTGGTGTATTGAAACTATCAATTTTAAGATCTAGTGTAGTTTTATGAAAAATGTTTTTCCAACATTTTAGTTTTAATTGTAATTTCAGGGAACACACTTTTCTGGAAACACTATTAATGTTCAAGTCCTGGCACATTTGGTTATTGAAATGTTATAATGAAACAGATCATTTTGTCCTCGTCTTCCTTTCAGATCCAGGTAATAGAAGATGACAAGGCCAAGTCAACAGAGCCATTCACTACAGGAGTCAGAGGTCAGGCTCCTCCACTGGTCACTACCGACTTTCAGGTCAAAGACCAAGGTACGTCCAGAGTTTACACAGAGGACTGAGTACAACATGTGAAGAGATTGGCATAGTGATGACGATATTTGACTGGTTTTGTGTGTGTGTGTGTGTGTGCAGGAAATGCCAGTCCCAGGTTTATTCGCTGTACAGCGTATAATATGCCTTGCACATCTGATATGGCCAAGCAGTCTCAAGTGCCACTGGCTGCTGTCATTAAACCCCTTGCCACGCTGCCACAAGACGAGGTGAATAACCAAAACCCCCCAATCCCCCACCACCTTCTCTTTCCACTTCCTCATCCCTGTCTGGTTTTGTCATTTTAGGTCTCTTAGCTTAGCATGTTTGCCCTCTAATGTCTTTAAACAATTTAACTCGCTCACCGTTTTATAGAACAATAATAAGAGTATCTATATCTGTGTACTTAAAGGTATCATGTACTTAATCTGATAAGGGATTATTATGAGAGAATACTTTATTATCAGTGAGATAATCCTGTTTCAAAGTCGTCCCAGTGGAAACGGATGCCCTTGTTTTAATCTTTTGCATTCATATCTAGTTTTGCACTGGAAACTTTCAGTGACCTACATTAATTTTTCAGGAACAGTCAACTGTAGGTGATTGAGAGTGAAATACAAAATGTTGATGCTCTCCCCTTTGTCTTTGTTGAAGTCACAGCCAAATTTAATTTGTAAATTTTATCTTGTTTTACAGACCCCTCCCTATCTGGTGGACCATGGTGAGGGCGGACCAATCCGGTGCAACCGCTGCAAGGCCTACATGTGTCCATACATGCAGTTCATCGAGGGAGGACGACGCTTCCAGTGTGCGTTTTGTAGCTGTGTCACAGAGGGTGAGTTTGTGAAACTGTAGATAAATACATTGATCAATGTGCCTGGTTTGTCAAAATAAACATTATATATTCCTGTAACTATTCCTATTTACTTATTCCACCTGTGCTTTCAGTGCCTCCGCATTACTTCCAGCATCTGGACCACACTGGTAAAAGGGTGGACTGCTACGACAGGCCCGAGCTTTCACTGGGCAGCTATGAGTTCCTGGCCACTGTTGACTACTGTAAGGTGAGATGTAATTTTCCTTCTGCTTTATGTCAGTTAAAAAAGTTAGACTAATGAATACAGCTATCTGCCATTACATGGACGGAAGAGGGAATATGAGCTCAAAGTGGTCTGTATTAATTACTATTATAGTCACTCATTGTCTAATGGACTATTAAATGTTAGGCCTGTAGGCTGCTGTCTGTATTGAGGCTTTAATGCAAGTTTTATTTAATAGCAATTGATTTATTTATTATTTCGTGCAGCATAGCAAATGTGCGCTGCTGTCATAGACACTAAATTATTTTTTTAAACATGAAAGAACAAAACTGATTTCACAGCCCATATCTCACAAGGTTGCAGTTGTTGGAACAAATTATGAACGCAGGGGTTCGCAGTGTTTTAATGGTAGTGGTATTACATCTGGTGTTGTTTGAACACAGTCACATTGATCAGTGGTCCCCAACATCTGGGCTGCAGACCGGCACTGGTGCATGGGTCAATTGCTACTGGGCCGTGTAGAGAGAATGCGTAACATTTGTTATTTCTGTTTTATTCATTAGCTTTTTCTGAAAAATTTACTGGATTCTGTCAAATCTGTCTATTACTTACACCTAATACTTGTCAAGATGCTTGCCTCGTCACATGTCTTACCTACATCCGCTACCATCTTAAAGGGTCTGCTCTGGCTAGTAACACTTGATACTTTACAACTAAGTTGAAATCCCCAAGCTAGCAAACTGAACAGAGACAAACATCTTTGGAAAGTTTCTTTGTGCAGGGTAAAAGAGCCAGTGAGGAGGCAGAAGGAGAGCCTTTGTTTTCAAAGACAAAGAAAGCTGCATTTAAGAGACAATTCCAGGAGTCCAACTTGAAATATGGATTTATTGTGACAGGTTGTTCCCACGCACCAAGCCCGTGCTGCATAATATGCAGCAAACGGCTCTCTAATGAGGCACTGAAGCCTTCAAAATGACTTCGCCACTTGGAGACCAAGCGTTATGCGTTAAAAAACAAACGCGGTGTTACCGTGACACTGCTAAAAATGCATACACAGTGACTTAACGTTTATTATTATATTTAGTAAATAACAGTTTTTATTCCAGTTGTATCTTTTGATTTAATTGTTTCTGCCACACTGCCGATTTGTGAAAAACTTATAACCGGTCCATGGCGCAAAAAAGGTTGGGGACCGCTGACATTGATGATTGACTTGATGTTCTCCTTTCGTTACCAGAACAACAAGGTCCCTCAGCCTCCAGCCTTCATCTTCCTTATTGATGTGTCCTACAATGCTGTAAAGTGTGGCATGGTGCGCATGGTCTGCCAAGAACTCAAGAATCTTATTGACTACTTGCCCAGGTATTTCCACTCACCTATAAAGAAGAGTGAGGAAATAGTATCTTGGATAGATGTAACCAGGGAAATGTATTTACTCTTAATTTTCTCTGGTAAATTCCTTCACATTTGCTTTTCCATTTATGTGTCCAGGGAAAACCCAGAAGTGGACTCGGTGATCCGAGTGGGCTTCGTCACCTACAATAAGGTTTTACATTTCTACAATGTCAAGTCAACTATGGCGCAGCCCCAGATGTTGGTGGTGTCCGATGTATCGGATATGTTCGTACCGCTGCTCGATGGTTTCTTAGTTAATGTAAATGAAAGCCGACCAGTTATCGAGAGGTGAGCAAAGGCTTAGTTAACACTGGCATTTCAATAAATTCATGTCGTGACCATTAGGAAAAAATATATATATATTCATATTAATTTACTTGTTGTTTTGTGTTTTTTTAGTTTATTGGACCAGATCCCAGAGATGTTTGCAGAAACCAGAGAGACAGAGACAGTCTTTGGACCTGTAATCCAGGCAGGACTGGAAGCACTGAAGGTAACAACTTCATTTAAAGTAATTCCAAATGAATCAGTGCTCTGCTTTTTAAAATGTGATGTTTTTAATATTTTACCATATTTAGCAAAATGTGATGCTATCTACGCCAACTGAGCCATAGTGCTGTATTTGTTCCAGCTCTGTTTACATGTGCTGCCAGATATTTTGAGAGCAGTAACATTGTGAAAATATCTGTTGGTTGGTCTGAATGGTTGATCGTACTTTAACTGTTGTGGGGGGGTTCTCTGTCAGGCGGCAGATTGTGCCGGAAAACTCTTTATTTTCCACACCTCGTTGCCCATCGCAGAGGCTCCAGGAAAACTAAAAAACCGAGAAGACAAAAAGCTTATTGGAACAGATAAGGAGAAGGTAATTAATTAGCTGTTCTGCCCACCAAGTTACATTTTATTATGTATTTCCTTCTCTTGTCTGTGTCAATGAAAAAGGTCTCAGACTGACTCTCTTTGCCTTCCATAGTCACTGTTTCAGCCCCAGGTGAGTTTCTACAACACACTTGCAAAGGAGTGTGTGGCCCAGGGCTGCTGTGTGGATCTTTTCCTCTTCCCTAACCAATACGTGGACGTCGCCACGTTATCGGTTGTTCCTGTTTCCACGGGTGGTTCAGTCTACAAATACACGTATTTCCAGGTGAGTAGACAATTGCCTTGTGTTTTTCATGTGCATATAGTGTATTAGCAAAAGTATACTTGCTGTTTTGGTGTGTTTGAGTGATTTGCTAAAGTCCTTTTATTGTTGTTGTTTTTTTAATTGTTATCAAAGACTCAGACGGATCAGGAGCGATTCCTGAATGACCTCTCACGAGACGTTCAGAAACTGGTAGGGTTTGATGCTGTCATGAGGGTGCGAACTAGCACAGGTGAGATTTCTTCACTTCCTGAGACTTCCTGTTAAAATAGTTTTGTCAATGTTGTGAATGAAATAAGACGATGCCCTCTCTTTTTCAGGGATCAGAGCAACAGATTTCTATGGCTCCTTCTTCATGAGTAACACCACAGATGTGGAGTTGGCAGGCCTGGACTGTGACAAGGCCATTACTGTTGAGTTCAAACATGACGACAAGCTCAGTGAGGAGACAGGCGCTCTCATGCAGGTATGAAACATCTGTCCATGTGATTGTCTTCTTTGAGAGAAATACATTAAGCTTTTTTTTTTCCCTGGTGTTTTTGCATTTTCTTGGCTTTGTGACGAACAGATCAACTAATTTGTGGTGGGGGTTTTTTTCTTTCTTCAGTGTGCCGTTCTCTACACCAGCTGCAGCGGACAGAGGCGCCTATGCATCCACAACATGGCCGTCAATTGCTGCTCCCAGCTGGCTGATCTCTACCGTAACTGTGAGACAGATACAATCATCAATTTCTTCTCCAAATATGGTGAGGAGATGTCGGGTGGAAATGAAAATTTTTTAAACTTAAGGTCCCCATGTCAGTTTTCAGGCAACGTCACTGTGATAAAAAAAATTGAAATATTTCACATTGCACATTGTCACTGCCTGTCAGTTTTCCAAAAATTGAAAGATTTGTTATACATATTATACAATTAACATGTTTATTTGTTTTTTGTTTTTGTCAGCTCTCCGTGGGATTCTGAACAACCCCACCAAGACTGTGAGAGACACACTGATAAACCAGTGTGCGCAGATCCTGGCCTGCTACAGGAAGAACTGTGCAAGTCCCTCATCAGCTGGTCAGGTACTGAAAACCTCAGCCTGTCCTTTGGTTTGCCAAAGAGTGATCGCTGAAAAAACTCAGTGTGAAAGACATCTTTATGTGAGCTTTTGTCGTCCCTCAGCTGATCCTTCCAGAGTGCATGAAGCTGTTACCAGTCTATCTGAACTGTGTGCTGAAGAGTGACGTGCTGCTACCAGGAGCCGACGTCTCACTGGATGACCGTGCTTACCTGCGACAGATGATTAGTTGCATGGATGTTGCAGACACCCACGTCTTTTTCTACCCCCGTCTGCTGCCACTGGTGAGAACACACCATCAGACATTGTTAAAGCAGGGAATCTCTGTTTTGATGCAAAGAATGGTTTATGGACCTGTGAAACCAATATGTTCATCAATTGCCTTTTTTTTTTTTTTACTGTCCAGATGAAGCTTGAAAGCGGCTCTCTGCCAGTGGCTGTAAGGAACTCGGAAGAAAGGCTCTCAAAGGGTGGAGTTTACCTCCTGGAGACGGGGCTCCCCCCTTTTCCTTGGGGCGGGGGCCGCGGCCAGCAGGCTTCTGGTCAACATTTTTGGCACACCAAGCTTCAGCCAGATCGACCCCAACATGGTGAGAGAAGATGTCTGATTTTAGAGTCCTTGCTGACCCCTGCTGACTGATCCTCAAATGTCACAAATGCACATACAGCAGAACTATTCGATTTTAAATTTATTTTGACTAGATTTTTTTTACCCCCAAAAATTCAGATGGGGCAGACATTTTTGGTGGCTAAAATGGGAGGTAACAATTTAGACTAAGATATGCATTGTTCATAAAAACAATATATTTTTTTTAGCTGCCCAACAAACTCATTGTAATGAAACATATTTGTAACCTGATTGTTCAGCAAAATTAGTTATGTCAGTCAATTAAACTGTTGATTTTTCATTGATAATTTTATAAAATGTGTTATACTTTCTTTCTATAGAGTGACATGTTGTTGTGTCTACACATATTATATACCAACTGGTAGGCTTCAGAGAGTGTTGCATTCTTGGTCAGTCATCCGTAGACATGGATTATTGCACACCTCAGTTTCTCTCAACATTTCTTGAATGACTGCATACTGGATGTGGCCCACACGCCACTATTTGAATAGGCCAGACATTCAGTATGTTGTCTGTTTAGTGTGGTTTAAGATCATGTTAATACACATGCTTGATCAATCATGTGAAATGTTAACACTTGTTTTTCTGGTATGAAAAGTGTCACATTGAAATTTCCTTTTGATGTTCAGTCATCATGTTCAGTGAAACTCGACTAACGACTCATTCATGTTGTTTTACTTATATATTTTTACTCTTTGTTTCAGACAAGTCTGCCAGAATTGGACAACCCTTTCTCTCGGAGACTCAGAGAAATTATTGACACCTTCAGAGCAAAACGATCACGATTCATGAAGGTTTGTCTAAAATGTATTTTCCTTTTTTTACTGCCCTCAGGGAGTGTAGGACATTTATCACAGCTAATTAATTGTTCACCCCAATTCTTTTCTTCTTGTTTTACTACTTCTTGGGATTTAAGTGGAGTATTTGCATTGTTATAAGGTGCATCACTGACACCTACAGGGCCTATTTTACACCAAATCTTCATTTTAGAAATGATTTGGATTTATGCCATTTTGGGAAATTCTGTCATACTCTGTTCTTTAATATTCAAGTGATAATACCATATATTTAAAATTTTGGCAACTACGGGAATTTGCAGGTATTTTTGTTTATTTGGGCTTTACTGGTTTTGGAAAGAAAAAATTCTCTGAACTTCACCACATCTGTGCTGTTCTCTGCAGCTGATGGTGGTGAAACAGGAAGACAAATCTGAGCTGATTTTCAAACACTTTCTGGTTGAGGATAAGACCGCCAGCGGGGGAGCCTCGTACGTGGACTTCTTGTGTCACATGCACAAGGAGATTCGGCAGCTGCTGAGCTAAACCTCCTGCTCCAGCTGCTCCTGCACTCCCATCTGACTTTTGTCCATCACTGACTCGTCGTTGTAAACAAAAGAAAGCGCTTTTCTTTCTTTTCTTTTCTTTTTTTTTAACCTAACAAACTAAAGCTCTCTCAACTGTCTGCCACAGACCAGCTAGTAAACCGAATCATGTGAGTGATTGTGCGTACGAGTTTGTGTGTCTGTGAGTGAACCTGATGTGTCAGGTCTCTACTCTGCCTCAAATCTAATGCTTCTGCCAACTGGAGCATTGAAACTAACGAGGGCAGGGAATGTGGGTGAGTGTTCACGTGTTTGTGTACACACAGGTGAACGATTGCATGTACGCAGCAGATGGAGTAAATAAGCAAACGAGTGGTGCAGACAGATCATGTGACTGTGGTCGGCATGCTGTCTATTAGTGGCACTGAAAGGCTGTTGTGGGTGAATCAATAACCCTCATATAGCAAAACACTTTTTATATATATTATTATTATAAAAAATCCACATAGAGTGAAGGACTTTTACATGAAAGACATAATTTTAAAAAAAAATGCTGTTCCTTTCCTCAGCTTTCCTCAGCTTTGGTGAATTCTCCCTGAACATGTTCTGTCTTTGTTTCTGATTTCCTTTGTTTTCAGGTGTGATTCAGTCAGGTGCCCACGGCCCAATATGTAGAAATAAACAGAAAATTTAAGAACCCTTCAAGCATTTATGTGAAAGGGAGAAGCTTTTTGTTGTGCCTCATCCCAATTGGCTTCAGCTGATTTTTCCGTATTGGGGTGAAAATCAGCCCCGGACTTTCAGAAGAGCCACACGTACATTTCAAATAAATGTTAGTAATCTTCTCTTGTGAGTTTTAAATCAAATGCAGCGCTGTTGCAAAGTCAGCAGTGGATCGAAGTTTAGAAATAGAATAAAGAACGAGAAGAGAACATGGGAGATGGTGGACTGAGATTGTAAAGCTATTGCAGTGAATGGTGCTGCAGACTTTATATGAATCAAAAGTTTGGATGTTTAGAAATGTATAAAAATGCCTGCTCCATCCAACAACTGAGCAGACATCAGAAATGTTTGCCCTCTCCGCACTGACAGTGTTCAGTGTGTAAATAAAATATATAACCTGTACAGAATGAATAGAAAGTAAAATTTTTAAAAGATCTGCTTGAACAGCTGTGATGTGTTGATGGTTGGTTTCTGTCACAAATGGCCACAGATGTAAACCCACGGCTTTTACTGAGGAGACAGGTTAAGTGAGAGTGGATGGATGAGTGAGTGAGTGAGTGTGTGTGTATATGTGTGTTTGAGTGAACGTGGGGTCAGTCCTGGTGAATTTCTCCTGAGGAACAGAGGGATTAACCACCACAAACACACACACACACACACACACACAAGTAATCTACCATTAAGAATCATTTCACAGCTTTTCATTTATCACAATGTTTAAAAAAAATAGAAATAACAACTGTTGTGCGTGTTCAGCCTGTGTGTTTGTGTTGACCTCTGTTCCATCTTTATGTTCAGAGTTTGATCCACCCGTCTTCTTCACTCTACTCTTTATTTCCTTTTTTTTTCTTTGATTTTTTTTTCATTGCCTCTTGGGACTGCTAATAAAATGAGGATAAAAGTAAAAGGTTTGCTTTTGTCTTTACTGTAGATTTTATTATGTATGTACTTAAGTCTTTCAGATTAAGTCTTGTTGCCTGATTCAGAGTGACAGTTCCTCCAGATTTGTTGTTCCTCTGAAATGAGGTCTGCAAAAGTGGTTAAAAGTTCAAGCTCAATGTCACGGAACTATCACTGAACAGCTTTCATCTGACGTTGGAGGATCTAATCCACAGACCTGGCAGAGTTGGATTGTGGCGTCCACCCAGGCAAGCTGAAATCCAGGGAAGACGGGTTCTGTGAAAGAAGTGTGGAAGGTGTGGAGTAGGGTTGGTGATCCACTGGACACTTGGTAGAAGGACAGCGTTCCTCCTGACCAGTCCAGGAAGACTCCTATTTCATTGGAGCTGGCCTGGGCTGCTAATACAGTGCTTGTATCTTTGTGAGAAGCTCTGTAACCATCTTTGGTGCAGTTCAGGCTCCAGGAAGACTCATTTCGACCCAGCCAGCTGTTGTGACCCTCTCCCTTCCTGTCCATTCCTCTGTAGGCCACTCCTATGGAAACTCTTCCGCTCCATACCACCCCCCAGTAACAGCGCCCTGTCAACCCCTCCGTACACAACACCTGTCTCCAGTGGTCAAACCTCTCCGGTTGGTCGGGGTAAGGCTGTGCTGTCCATCGTTTGGCTTTTGTGTTTTCCATTGACAGAAAAAGATCTTTGTGTGCAGTTTTTGGATCCAGAGTGAGTTTTCTGTGATCTGGATAGAGAAACAGAAACAGAAATGTTCTTCAGTGTCACATCGGCACAAATCCATCCTGAGGTTAGAGGTCTGTTGCTTACATTTCTTTGGGCCTGGTTGAACTCTGCTTTCACCGCACTCTTCAACACTAAAACAGAATAGAAAATGATGTTTTAAAAACAATTAGAAAATATTGTTTTATAGGAATTTTTAAACAGCTTAAAAAGGAGAAAATGTTTTTTGACTTCAGCAGATCGCTGCCTGTCTCACTTCCTTCCTGTTCTTTGCCTGTTACACCAACATCCTTCATGTCCTCCTTTATGACCTCCATTAGTCTTTCCCAGGGGTATTTCCTTCTTCCTGCCCTTTTAGCTCCATCTTCAACATTCTTTGTCCAATATATCGATTATCTCTCCTCAACACACGTCCTAAACGTTTAACAACGCGTCTCCACATTCTTTTTGAACCACTTAACCTTACCTGAATTTTAATTCTGTAAATGCTGATGACTCGGCATCTTCATCTTTACCACCTCAGTCTCAGTCTACCGTCTTCTCAGACAATTCAGTCTACCGTCTTCTCAGACAATTCAAACCAAACATCATAGCAGGTCTCCTGACTGTCTCATAAATGTGCCCTCAGATCTGACTGCGGCTCTTCTATCAAAAAATAACTGTCATAATCCTTATCTCTTATCCACAGACCACTATCTGACGTCAACCATGTGTGAAAACTTCAATATCCGGAATCCATCTGCCTTGTGATGGCAACCTTTAGTTACATTTTTTATTTCTCAGAAAAACTTTTTTTGGTGTCGTCCTAACTGTGTGCTGTCATTACCAAAGTTCCTGCAGGCTGCAGTGTGGTTCATTCTGCAGAGCCTTCAGCAGCTGCAGGCCTAAGGTCCCTGGGTGGTTGTAGCTCAGGTCCAGCTCTCTCAGAGAGGAAGACGTCAGTGCTGATGCCAGGAAAGTGCAGCCAGTTTCTGTCACTCTGCACAGAGACAGACTTCAGGAGGAAATCACACGTTACAACTATCCAATTTCCAAAAGACGCTGGTGAGTTTGAGTTCTACGCTGTTTACAGATTCTTTCCAAATTCACATTGGTTTTTAACTCGTGGCACTCACCTGAGAGTTTCCAGTTTACAGCAAGAATTCCCCAGTCCAGTAGAAAAGACCGTAACGCCTTCATCCTCCAAGTCATTGTCGCTGAGGTCCAACACCTTCAGCTGACACGAAGCTGAACTAATCATTTCAGCCAAGGCATCAGAGCTGAGTTTGGTCATGCTGCAGCTCCTCATTCTAAAAAAAGGGAAAAACACACAAACATTTGATGACAAAAAATACAACTCCATCATCTGTACATCTGTAAACATATTATATTGTCACCTAAGTGTTTCCAGTTTGCTGTTCTTCAGTCCAGCAGAGAGGAGACTCATGCCCAGGTCTGTCAGATTGTTGTTGCCCAGGTTTAATTCCCTGATTTGAGATGAACTGATACAGGAGGCCAGCATTTCACAGCAGGTCACTGTCAGATTACATGCATTTAGACTGTAAATAAAGGAGGAGGACAAGGTCAGTCACTGATGGACGCTAACCTTGGACAGGCTTTATCTCTGAACCAGCCACAAGGGTCGCCGCCCCAGGGACCACCCTAACTAGGACAGACAGAGGAGCCCAAACCATGGTGGTAATGTGCCGGCGCTCCTCCAGCGCATCCAGGAACCCCCAACTCAACTCTTGGTGTGGAGGGCTCCCCATGAGGAAAAACACTTGAATCAGTAGAAGTTAACTTACTTTGCTGCTTGGGCTGTTTTAAGCACAGGCAACAGCCTCGATAGGCCCTCCTCAGACCTGCTGTAATTGCTCAGTTCAAAAACACTCAGTTCCTCCTCTGATGTCAGAAGCACATAGACCAGAGTTGACCACTGTGCAGGTGAGAGTTTCACCTCTCTGAGGCTGCCCGACCTGAAAAAAGACTGAACCTCCTCCACTAGGGAATGGTCATTTAGCTCATTCAGGCAGTGGAACAGATTCAGGCATCTCTCTGATGAAGGACTTGACTTAATCTTCTCCTTGATGTATGTGATGATTGCCGTCCTGGTCCTTTTGTTGGTTCGGTTGGTGGTCAGTAGTTGCTTCAACAGAACCTGATTGGACTCCATTGACAGGCCCAAAAGGAACCGCAGGAAAATGTCAAAATAACCGTTCTCGCAGCGTAGAGCCTTCTCCACTGCGTCTTTGTAGAGGACTAACTCTGAGGAGTCTCTGAACAGAAAGAGTCTCTCAGCGAGTGACTTGGTGACCAGGACGTTGATGTTGTCATTGTTGAACGTCAGGAAGACGTACAATGCAGCAAAGAACTCCTGGATGCTGAGGTGAACAAAGCAGAACATCTGCTCTCCGAGCATCAACTCCTCACTGAAGATCTGCGTGTACAGTCCTGAGAACATGGAGGCCTGTGTGACACCAAGGCCATTTTTAATCAGATCTTTCTCATAGAAGATTAGGTGGCCTTTCTCCAGCTCTCTGTAGGCCAGTTTACCCAGTGAGAGGAGGTTGGTTCTGATAGACTCAGTGCTGGACTCTCTTCTTTCTGATAACCTCTTCTTTGTCTTCTCCACGTACAGAGATAAGAAGTTTATGTACATTCTCGTCAGGGTCTTCGGTGTGTCTCCAGGGGCATTCGTTACCAACATCTTCTCAAGGACACTCGCTGCCATCCAGCAGAAGACTGGAATGTGACACATGATATGAAGACTCCTGCAGGATTTGACATGTGTGATTACCCTGTTTGCCAGGTTCTGGTCATCGATTTTCCTACGGAAGTACTCGTCTTTCTGCTGGTTATTGAACCCCCGCACCTCTGTCACCAGATCAACGTCCTCCTCAGGGATCTGACCAGAAGCTGCTGGACGGGACGTTATCCAGACCAGGCTTGAAGGGAGCAGTCGTCCTCTGATGAGGTTGATCAGGAGCACGGAAATTCTGGCTGGCTGCGTCACATCTGACACAATTTCTCCTTTGTGGAAATCCATGGACAACCGGCTCTCGTCCAGACCGTCCAGGATGAAGAGCATTCTACTGTTGGCATGAGAGAAAATGTCAGTATTTTTGGTGTCAGGGAAAAGGAGGTGGAGAAGATCTGCTAGACTGGAAGTCTTTTTCCTCATCAGGTTCAGCTCTCGGAAGGTGAGTGGGAAAACAAAGTCCAGCTCAGTGTTCGCTCTCCCCTCAGCCCAGTCCAGTGTGAATTTTTTGACACAAACGGTTTTTCCGATGCCAGCGACTCCCCTTGTGATCACTGTTCTTATGTTGTGGTTTTGTCCTGGTTGTGCAGCGAACAGCTGAGTGCAGTGGATTGATTTCTCCTGCGCCACATGTCTCCTGGATGTCGCCTCAATCTGCCTCACTTCATGCTCCAGGTTGACTTTTGCACTTCCTCCCTCGGTGATGTAGAGCTCTGTGAAGATCTTGTGAAGGGGGATTTTCTTGGTCTCCGTTGCCCCCCCTTCAAGCAGGAAACTGAACTTTGTCATCAGTTCAGCTCTCAGTTTTCTTTGACATTGTGCAATGCTAACACCTGCGGGTGAAAAAGTTTTGTACAGGTATTTGTTTTTTGACACTTTGTGAGCAATCCCAACTCCTTCATGTGACGAGGTCATAAATTGCTCACCTGGTTGTTGCTGAAACTCGCAGCTCTCTGCAGTGCTGGTGAAACCTGGTGAAACCTCACACTCTACAAAAGAGGAAAAAACATCACTCCACAAAAAAACCCTGTTGTTATTCAGATTGCAGTGTATACAGTATTTACCGTGTCCGTTTCTGGTGATGTTGATGTTTATGGTGCCAACGTTGGAATCAATGATAGTTGGAGCAACCACGTTGCTTCCATACTGAGCTGTGATCCCAGGATGTAAGCTATGAATCAGAGCCTGAATAGATGAAGCTGAGCCCAAAAAGCACTTGTGGTCAACAACAAATTAGGTAGAAAAAAATAAAATAAAATAAAAACCTTTATATTTGTACTACTCCATGCTCTTACTGTGAATTCCTTACCCTCAGAAATCTCATCCTTTTTGTCAGCGTCTGTCTTTGACTCCATTTTTCTCCACAGATTTTATGTCGAACCATTCTCTTGTTATCAGCAGTTATCAAAATTGAAGGACACGTTCACCTGCCCCTGCTGTAGTTGAGGTAACAAGTGTAAATCACTTAATCACTGTGGCTACAGGACGTGTATTTTCACTGATACTGTAAAAGTAAGTTTCTTTTTCTCCTCTTCTAGATCGTGAGAGACCGGAAAAAGTGTCTTCCTGTCTGCAATGGGGCAAAAAAGAGTGCAGCTGCAAAACACGGTTTCATTTTTGGTTTAGCTTTAAAAGTCACGGTGAGTCTGTCGTTCTCACTTGTATTATTCATTTGCATGAGGTATTGATATTTTACAATGTGTTCGTTGTTCTCTGTCTGTTACAGACATCCTCAATGTCTGTTGTAAATACACTTAAGAATGTTTTTTTAAAAGAATAATTCTATCAAAATAATTATCTTATAATCAAACTAACATAAGGTCAGCACTTGAATTGATATTTACAGTTATATTTGTCTTTGTCCAGGCCTTTTATTGTCTAATCACAATAAATATTAATATCTGGGTTTGTTAGCATCACTCACATTAACAACATTTGAGGAAACTTACATATTTCCCAACCATAAGGTAATGAATAGGTGTTGGGTTGTACATAAATTAAAATACTAAAATTGGTGTATGTCCTGTGGTCAGAAAAGGTGGAACATTTCTGTGGTAGGCCATTGAAAAACATTGCAAAGCATTTCAAATTTGACCAAAACATAAGAAAGTATCAAAATGTATTCCAGAACGATATTTATGTTAGATAAACATGTAGAAATCAAAATGTTAGACAACAGGAACTAGAAAGATAAAAATTTATTAAAGGTGCAACAATAATGACTAAAAGTTAAGTGTAAGATCATACAATGTGTGAAAAAAGTTTTTTTTACAACCCAAGTATGTCGCTTTATTTATTTATTTTATAGTAGACAAGCTGCATATAATGCTTTGTACTGTGTCATATTAGTTAAATACATTAAAATGTAATACATCACAGCAGCTTGAGCAGTCACATTTTACAGCCTGTAGGATAATCGAACGGGCTGTAGTTTTCCACTTAAAAACACGATGGCGACAAAGTCCATTTTATTGTTTTGACTAAACTCCCTCCGTTTAGCTGTGAATCGAAATCCTTGTAACATAACTAATGCATAGTTTACAGGGTATTCATTAGAGATGGGGTCGTCAACGTAGCCCCCTGGACTACCAAAGGTGCCCGCGGGGTATGTTGTCAAAGTACAACTAGTCAACAAGAGGATGAAGAATTGGACTGTTACTGTGCTTTTTCATTCAGTTCCATTTACAATGATGTTCAAATGGGTGCAATGACGTTGGTAAGAACAGTGTCTGCTATTGTATGTCCCAGAACTGATTATTCACACTGTTTGTGAAGTCTGTATCAGACAAGTAGCTCTTTGTATGACTAAGTGTCCTCGAAGTAGCTCTCCGTTTCAAAAAAGTTCAATTAGAGATATTGATACATTTTTGACACAAACGTTTTTTCCGTTGCCAGCGACTCCCCTTGTGATCACTGTTCTTATGTTGTGGTTTTGTCCTGGTTGTGCAGCGAACAGCTGAGTGCAGTGGATTGATTTCTCCTGCGCCACATGTCTCCTGGATGTCGCCTCAATCTGCCTCACTTCATGCTCCAGGTTGACTTTTGCACTTCCTCCCTCGGTGATGTAGAGCTCTGTGAAGATCTTGTGAAGGGGGATTTTCTTGGTCTCCGTTGCCCCCCCTTCAAGCAGGAAACTGAACTTTGTCATCAGTTCAGCTCTCAGTTTTCTTTGACATTGTGCAATGCTAACACCTGCGGGTGAAAAAGTTTTGTACAGGTATTTGTTTTTTGACACTTTGTGAGCAATCCCAACTCCTTCATGTGACGAGGTCATAAATTGCTCACCTGGTTGTTGCTGAAATTAGAGATATTGATAAAATGCATAACAATTATTTATTCTAATTGGTCATTTTACCTTTTTATTTCTTAGTGTTAGTTTGAAATATAAAAATAGGTACAAAACCTGCATCAGATACCAAAAGAAACACTTATGGCTCACAGTTGTCTTACCCAAGCCTGGGTCCAAACTCACGCCACCCTGCCCCACAGTCAGAGGAATCCCCTGGGCTATAACACCATGGAGGATGACCAGAGAGAAACTGTAACTGGTTGGTGGAAGTTCCCCATGTATGGGGTGATCGGGGGATTTAAGGGGGGCTGAGGTGGGGTTGACTTTTGCACTTGCACTTGCACTTGTAGGGTGGTAGGTGTACCAAGTACCATTACTGGTAGTGGGGTAGCAGGTGTACCAGTTGATGTTACAGCTAGGGGTTGGACGGTGGAGTGGGGGGTAGGTAGGCTGGAGGGGTGGTGTGGGTGTGGCTAATGACAGAGACACAGGTGAATGTGATCACACTAATCAACTCAACAGGAAGGCAGGAGACAGACAAGGGAAGCTGGAGTGTGGGTTTAAATCCAGACATTGGACCATGTTGAACTTACTCTGCCAACTTCTAGAAGGAATCTTTAATTACAAAAATATATCAATGGATCACTCTCATTAAAGAATCATTCATTCATTCCCTCTGAAAACAGGTATGTGGCTGAATGGTGCAGAGGAAGCAAATGTTATATTTTGCCACTCCCGTACCCCACCCTCCCCATCCACACTGCAGGTGGATAAATTAAATACAAAATGAAAATCGTTTTATTTTTTAGTAAAAGTGGGTACCACTGAGTACCAGGTGAGGTACAGTTGTCTTAAATTCCTCTGCAGTTTGATTATATCTATTTTTTAGGACACAGGGTGGGTTTAACCTAAAATGCTACAGTGATTGCTTATTGATCTGGTTTTCAGTAGCCCTAGGTAGAGCAATGACGCTAAACAGGAAGATTGAATTTCTCACTCCGCCAGTAATATGAGCATGTTCTTCTAAGTGAAAAATAAAAAAAAAACATCAAGGTTTAAGACTAAATGCTAAAATAGTCATGAGCCAAGAGTAGGTCACCTCTGATATTTGCTGTGATGTCTGGTGTTTAATTATACTTTTACCATTTCTGATTTATCCAGGTCACGGTGACTCATGTGTCATCAGCAACACCCTTTGTCTTAGCCCCACCCACAGACACACGCACACAGTTGGATGCGGCCAAATGTGACGGTGGACGACTGGTCAGCTAGGGGTCAGTTATGCTCGGGGTATCACGACATAGTGTTACTCATTCTCTTCCTCCCTCTCCCTCAAACTGTTCCTCCAGAACTGTGGAAAGCAGGACTGTCATGACTCAGCCCTTGGCCCCGTCCACCCTCTCATTTGTGATGATGTAACAAAAGACATATTCACCCTTATTAGTCAGTACAAAATGAAATGCCAAGTCAAACTGTGTGCCAGTTTCTGATAGCACAATTTGTCTGTTCTGGATACAAACAAAGTCTGACCCCCATTAAGGTTTTGAGTAACATATATTTTGTCCCTGGTGGGTGTTTTACTGCAAGCTTCAACTGGTTCAATACATAAAGGACAAGTGACTGCCAGCTGGATAGGTTTTCCTTAGTGCTGATACTACTGGATAATTTAGAAGTGTGTTTCTCACAGCAAGGTAGCATAGGAACATGTGAGTAGCTGTGGCAACTCTTTGACAACATTTTCCATTGCAAAGTCAAGAGGGAAGGATTGGACCTCTTCTCATTCTACCTCAAGTCACTGAAGTCATAACCAGCTGGAACGGAGAGTCTGAAATATAACACGCTCTTGTGAGGTGAATGCTGTAGAAGATGAGCACTGAGAAGAACATGTAATGATAATAATATTATAATTTAAAATATCTCACACACATTCCTCCTTTCTTTCTCTCTCTCTTTCTTCCTGATAAATTCTGCCATCACCAACCTACTTTATTTTTCTTCGGCCTCCTGTGTTCTCACTCCTCTTCCCTCCTCTGCTTTGCTGTCTCTCATCAAGTGGGTAAGGCGTAGAGTGTGGATGGTGTGAGATAACAAAGGCTGAGGAGTTCACCATTATATAACTTGTGTGGAGGCAGAGGAGGTGGAGAAAAAGGAGGAGGGGAGGCTGCAGGGTTAGCATGTAGCAGAAAAGAAGGGCAGTAAAAGGCCTGTAGCCTACGATGCTGTGCTTATTTGAATTTTACGTGACACACACACACACACACACACACACAGAGTTCAACCTTCTTTCCTTGCTCTCCATCACACATCTAGTATGGGGAAATAATCACTGAACATCCATTGTTTTAGTTACACTGACTAATGCACACAAATGTCTTTTTTTAATAAAAACATTTTTTTTATTCTTTCGGATACCAACTGTGTTATATAGGTTGTCCCATCTCAGAGAAAGAGTGCCGAGGAGGCACACACACACACACACACACACACACACACAAGGCCTCTAACTAACTCTCGAGCTCTACGGTTCCCTCCAGCCCCGCCCGCCTGTCCTCTGATGGCCTCCCACTCATGCCACATTAAACATTTAGTGAGGCACTCTGGATCTGTGTGACACCATCTTTTAGAACTGCCAAGCTAACAGCTCTCAGTGTGGAAAAAAACATAGGTGCACACTTGTCGGTGTGGGAACCTGATACAGCAGCCACGCAACTCCCTCTTCCCATCTCCATCTCTCCCGTGCACATACATGTGCATGCTCTCCAATGCTGAGACAAAAATCAGTGGCTCAGAAAAGGTCTACTCTTCTGAGAGCAAGAATTCAGCATTAATCAATACTGATCTGTGAAGTGTGTCTGTATGTGCATTCGCAACGGCTTGAGTGTGTGTAGCGTTACAGTTTGTCTCTCTGCTGCAGTGAGGTGCGACCCAGAATTGGGTGTATCCCAAACAGTGCAGTAAAATAATGCTGTGATGTTTTACTGCCTTTTTCACTGAGGGGAAAGGCAGGAGAGAAACAGGAACCTGCTTTAAAAGGTACTTTCACACCAGTAGTATGCAGGAGCACAAGAGGGTGTGCCTGTTCCTAAGTACTGTGTATTGTACTTCAGCATATCGACAATACATTGTTTGATATTGGTGTGTGTTGGAATTAAATGCATTGACTGTAACGTAATCTACATAAGACAAAGATCCTGGAAAAGAATACAAGGCAGTACTTTTACATCTACAGCTGTACCCTACAGTAATTATCAAAGCATTAGTAGTACTCTTGTGTGGGTGTCCAAATATGGCATGGTAAAAAACAGCAATCTTATGCCCCAAAACTGACACTTGACTATTGATACAAAGAAAAATGTGTGACTTTCTACCTTTCGCCAAAAAAGTTAGTGTTGTCTAGGTTATGTTAGACACACTTAAAACATAGGGAACTTGTTTTTTTGGCACAAGTTGAAGTATTAAACAGTGACAGACTCAGTCAGAGAAAAAAGAGAAATGGTCATAAATGAGCAGCAGTGACATGGGACTATTTTCCACATAACCTATTTACAGTCGTGGTGATTTATTCTGCACCATAGCAGGGAGTCTGCATTATAACACCCACTGTCTTTCCTGTTGACCAATGCTTATTTATTTCATATTTTTATCTGTAAAATGTGAAAGACTGTAGTAACACTAAAAGGTGATACTGCAACAAACTGGCTCCTCTGTTCATCCCTTCCTTCTCCAAGTGCGTCATGTACATTCCAGCAAAGGATGTAAACACTGGTTTACCACTCTCTCTACGCTCCGACACTCTCTGCAGTTTCCTCCTTGCTCTTAGTTGATTTATGCATATGGGATACATGTGCAAGCCATTCTTTATGTGTAATGTACAGTAAGTCTTGGTTCCAATAATGGGAAGATCATCTGTTTGGGATACCAAAATAAACAAAAAAAATTATTATCATTACTACTAATAATAATTATAACTAATAATAATACAGTAAACCATTACAGTAAACTTCATCTTCACACAGAGATATTTATTAAGAAAATATTAATGTTAATGAACACACTTATAAGGCATTTGTTAAACCTAATGTTTCTGTTTTTGAATTGTAATATTTTTTATTATATTAGTAATCAATGTTTTTCAATATTTTACAAGATCCCAATTTTAGTTCATTTTCAGGAGAACATGACATTTGTCACATGGATTCATTTAGAGAAGCTTGGGATCAATAAATTATATCTATCTGCCTTGCTTCAGAAAAATACCTACTGTCATCCAATCCATTCTGTCTCTTTGGGTCATCATTAGAGGTGGTAAAAAGGGTTTAAAAGAAACCTCATGCTGCGAACAGCATGTCTTCCAACATCCATCTTGAGCTGCTGCATCAAACACGTTCCATCCTGACATTCAACCTGCCACCAACGGTATACAAAACAGCCCAATCTATTAGGTCTTGTGTAAACTCGTGTGGAGACATACTAGTGTAAATACAGTGTGATCAATGGGTAAAAGGAGCGCTTGTCTTTAAACTGAAGAGGGGAACTACAGTGAAAACATGTAAACTCCATACAAAAGGGACATTGGAAGCATTTGCAAACTGGTTGTTAGGCAACAGCTCCAGTCAACACTACACAGTGGCAGGATCTAGTTGTAGGATTTCAGAATATTAAGTAAGATGTTTTGACTGCATATTTGTCAGTATACAGGAAGCCCATGTCTTCAGGTAAAATTACTTTAACCTGCACAAATAAGAACTGGTTTGGATTAAAATACAAAGATGTTATTATTGGAAAATAAATAAACACTTTCATGTGAGTTTTTGCTTAAATATCAGTTAAAGAACAAGATCAATTCTGCCTGTAGAAATGAAATGTAGAGAGACCTTTTACCAGAGGTCTCACTCTCGTACCTAAGGACTCGCGAGACTTCCCCTCCACCACCACAATCATTACTTCTCCTCCTCTCACCACCCCTCCCTTTCCGTCTCTGCTTGCTTCTCTCCTCTTCAGCCTTCTCTGCCTGTCAGAAAGGTGTTCCAACGTTGGAGGCTAGGCTACCCTCCTTCAGGACCCCGACCGTACGAGAGCCAGCCGCCGTCGTACCCCAGGGCTCGGGCTCCTCCTCACGGTTCCCACCATGGCGACCACCGCTACTTCCACCAGGTTCACCGACGAGTACCAGCTGTACGAGGAGCTCGGGAAGTAAGCAGCAATCGTCTGATTTTTAACAGTGCACATCGTGTTTGTCATGTCGTTCTGTCCCCCACCCCCGCAAACCTCGCCTTACTGTAATTCTGCTTAGCCAGCTAGCACAGATAAGCTAAGCCCTATACCTCATATGTAGAGTGCTGTTCGTACTCTTTCATGGGTCTGTCTGTGAGCGTTTGTTGCCTAGTGTTGCTGTAACGCTACATAAGCGTTGTTACAGAGTAACTACCCCCTCCCTTATTATGGCAGCAGAGCGCACTACAGCCCCGTCAGTAGCCTACGATCTGCCATGCTGATATTGATTAAACTAGCTCTGTTAGCCCGCTAGCGTCGCGTCTTTTAGTCGCTAATGGTGATGAATGTACAGAGCAAACACAGTTTGCTGCATGAGCTGCGGACAGCCCCCTACTTGTTCCGAGGTCTGGTGGCCACAGCAGCGGGGCCCCGAGAGAGACGCAGCCCCGTGACATTTGCACCGGCCGCGGCTCTGACAGCGTTCACTGCGCTGACTCTCATGTCAAAGCACAGGCTGTGACTGGGAGCTAACTATTGTAGGCCGATCACCTTTTTCTCTGCCCCCCAAAGCAGCTGCAGATGATTGTGCGGCCGTGTTCAATGACGTTGTCGTCTCTTGAAGCTCTTAATGAGGAAGTTATTGGTTCTAGGCTTGTGCTGCTGCACGTTTGCACTGTGACGTCTCTATACGCCCCGATGTCTCAGGAGCAGGATGTTATCAATTCATGTATTCGAAGTGAACAAAGACAATCGAAGGGTAGTCACCGTTTAAAAAGCAGTAATCGTTGTTGTGCAAGAGACGGATACGTATGTGCTTAATATTTTGATGACGGCAAGGGAAACTGGGCCATTACCTTCTTTTTTATCATCATCATCATCATCATCATCATCATCCTCGCCATCACCAGCTGCAGCAGCAGCATCTCTTGTTCCTCACCAGTGGGTGGGTTAAAAGGGCGACACTGACTCAATACAGATTCACTAGCCTTAATTTCCCACTGTCGTTTCCACTATGTGTTTAATAACTGACAACAATGATGGCACTAATTGCACAGTCGGTGAAATATTGCAAACATAGAACACACGCCCTTCTGAGCCTTATCCAGACTGACCACTTACCTTCCAGCTTATATTTCTCTAGCTTCTAGTTAATGCATTTTGCTCTGTCATAGGTTATTAACGTTAGCTTCACTGAGGTTGTGCTCCAGTCACCTGTCACCTCTTGTTTACTGGTAAATAATTGAAGCAAAGAGCAGAGTGGAATGAACAGAGTGCAGGGCTCTGGTGCAAACCTCTATGTATGATCAAGAACAAGCAACATCCTAGAAAAATTCAGTTCTATAAAAATTAAACAAAGATTTTTTTTTCCTGTGATGTCCAAGCCCAGGGGTGCATAAATGCATGGGATGACTGCATTTGACAGTAGTCGGTACTTAAACAAGAATCTGTCGATGTCAGTGGTGCATGTTTGCAGTATTTGCAGTCTGATGAACAGTGAAAAAAAAGCTTTTTTAGTTGTTAGTTGAGTTAGTGAGTTTAGATATAACATCAGCATTGGGCCAAACTTCATAATCCTTGCAAACGTACTGCAAAACCAAGAAGACACCTCAGTAGCTGGTTGGTTATTGGTTGACCTGTTTGTTTCATTCAGATCTGTGTGATTTTTATCAAAATGTGTTATTTCATTAACTGTTATCCTCCTCTCTATGCAGAAGCTTCACAACAAACCATTGTTGTCTTGCGGGTGCTTTAAATGTTGCTTACTGTTGAGCACAACGCACCTCATTTATTCTTCATGCTGGCTGTTGGAAATTGAATTTTTTTCAGACCTTTAGGTTGCACCGTGATGTATGTTGTTATCCTAGATTCGCAAAAAGACATGACCAATCATTTACATATCAGCTGTTATGCAAGAGAAACTTGTAACGTCAAAGTTAATTTTTGAGTTCCATTGTTGCACTGTTGTGCACAGTTGTGTTCATATTCTAGATGCTGAATCTGTGATTGTAATGTTTCTGTATCCTTTGTACTTGTTCTTTGTCTCTCTCTCTCTATCTCTCTCTTTCTCTCTGTCTCTCTCTCTCTTTCTCTCTCTCTCTCTCTGTGTGTGTGTGTTTAGTATACACAGAAAACTGCTGCCACACGTGTATGCAGTTTCAAATGTCATTCTCTGTGTTTGAGAGAGAAGTGAATGGGTGAGAGAGTGTTTGCATGTGAAATTAAATTGATATTTGGTTGTTGATGTTCTTTCTTCTTAGGGGAGCTTTTTCAGTGGTGCGTAGGTGTGTAAAGAAGTCATCAGGACAGGAGTATGCTGCAAAAATCATCAACACTAAGAAACTCTCTGCAAGAGGTACGGCAGCACACCATGCACCCTCACACAGACTTGTATACCTTTGTGTTGTTCTTGTAATAATTCCTCTATCAATATTTTTTAGCTTTCTTTTGTAAAGCTGTACATAATTAATAATATTAATATTAAATATGTAACAACTTGGTACATTATCTAATGAATACACCTGATAAGTCAATGAATTCTATGTAAGGCCCAGAAAAACCTTTCTGTTTGTCCTTGGATAGTGTGTGCCATGTCCCTGCTCAAGCTGTGGTCCTGCTAACCAGTCCATAGCTGGTCCAGCCTGTTGAATTGCTACTGGTGGTGATTGTCTTGTTTTAGAGCAAGAAGAAGAATTGATTTTATTGTTATTGTACATATATAAATGGAGATATAGTGATTGTTTTCAGGAACACTTGGGGAGCATTGGTGCTTGCTTACTGCCAGCCCAATACTGCCAGCCAAGGTGGTGTTCAAACCTGGTCCTCTGACCAAAAGGCCAGGGGCTGCCATTTAGTCAATAAGACAGGAATTTAATTTGAAAAAGTAGCAAATAATTGGCATTGATAATCTAATTACAACTAGATAAACACTGCCCACAGCCCAATACTACTGTGTTTTCCCTTTCTCCCAGCAATATACAACATAATGCCTACTGGAAACCAACATAGTCCCATCCCACACACAATTTACATGTTGTGTGTTTGAGAATTTCCCCTGAACAAGATAGCGCCACCGTTAGTCATTGTTCCTCTCCACCAGTCAGCAGTCTGCGCAGCGTGTCATGTGCTTTAGAAATCTTAAAATCAATACTGCCATGAAGCAGTCCAGCTCTCAAATGTCCTGCACTAACATAACAGACATAAAGAAAGTGTTATTGCCCTGGCGTTCCATAAAACCCCTCTTAGTTCATGTCATTCATCTACATGTATACGTCATCATATTGTCAAACCTTATCGGAAAGTATGCATATAAACAAGAGTCCCATTAATACCAATCCTGAATGAAATATCCCATTCAATCATTGTGTCTGTGGAGAGTTTTAATCAGCAACTTCTGGGTGATGTATATTGACCCTCTGTAAACACTGTATTGGAAAACTCTTAATCATTCCTCTGTGGTATCATTAGACAACTGCTGTACAGTGAATTGATTAATTTCTGAGAAGCTCCTCATGACTGGGATGGAATGAAAATATAGCGATGAGAACTGGCAGGACATGAGAGATCACCCTTTACTGTTATTTAGTTTAATATGTCACTTTGGTGTGTTCGTATAATTCCATCATCCACTTTTGAATTGCAATTGAATTGTTTTTGTCGTACTGATCCACACCCACATCTACACCTCACATAACTGGGGGTGGCTTTGCCACGTCAAATTGGTGGCGATGATGATGATGATGCAAGCCTGTGTCTGTGTGCTGGGAACTTCCCTGGCTGCAGAGCTAGATGCTTAATTGCTTGGCCTTTTTGTATGTTACAGATGAGAGTTGCAGTCCTTTATGACATTCAATCACCTGCTTTTATTTGTTCCTGCTCAGAACCACACACTGTCTCATTCATCTGCATGTCTTAGCTGCCTGCCTTACTACCTGTTCCTATCTTGTCTTTCCGAGAAAGGGGATTGGTTTGTATTGAGGCTAATCCACTTATGTTAAATGTGTCTCATCAGCCACTAATACCTCATGGATTCCATAGGCACCTCCCTCTTTGTCTGATTTATCTGACTGCGTGTGTGTGCGCCTATGTGTTGATAAGGAGGAATAATTTCTAATAGAAAGCTAATAGAGCATGTCTGTATTGTGAACCATTTATTAGTTTGTTTTAATGTTCTTATTGTTCTGTTCCTGCCATCCAAGTGTCCACAGAGGGCAGCTTCTGGTATTA